ACGACATCTTAAATTCTTCAGAAAATTAATGCAGGCGTAACATTGTAATTGTATTTTAAGTAAAATTGTATTGAAAGAAAACTTTCCCTATAATTCAGTTAACATAAGCCACGTTTCGTGACGTCTGCGATCTCTAATTTACTAAGGACACTGGATGGCACAACTGTTTTATCTGGTGGCTATCATAATACGCTGTAATTTGCATTCTTTCTCAAAACTAATTTTATGGCACCTGTTTTAATATTAAGCCTTCCTGTTTAATGAGATAATCGAGCGACGGTGTTTTGCATACTTTTTTTCAAATAAACAATCAATTATCTTCTCCAAAATGAGTTCTTCAGCTTTTCTCAAAGTTGGAGCTGCAATTTTGTCTTTTATCCTTAGTATTTTGTTTGGAGTCAGATCGGCATTGGGTTTTGGTGGCACAGGAGAGTGTTGCCCTAAGGATAGCGGTAATATGTGCAGTTTTAGACATCCGTGAGATGGGAGGTGTTCCTGAAGACACAAATGAAATAATCCTACCTCTGTGAAAAGAGGTGATAGTGGTATTATATTCTTCAGCTTCTGCAATTTTTACGTCTTGTTTCAGTAAAATTGTTCCTCACGTTCTGCCTCCTCTTCTTCTTTAATTTCGTGAACAGAGAACACGATTACTAAGAGCAAACTTCTGGTTGACTGAAAGCATATTCTGAGAAAAGTTTCAGCAATACAATCTCTGATCTCACTGGGCTTTTATGAGACGATCATTGTTTTACTGGTTTATGTGAGTTTGTGACTATTGTTACATGCTAGGAAAGACGTATCGGCATATGTAGTTGACATAAGACACTGAGAATTTGTCAGGCTGAGTATTGACCCTCTCATTACGAAACAATATGGGGAAGAGAGAGAAATAGGAAAAACACCGAAAAAGGAAAAACACAGTCTGGCTTCCAAAAACGGATATGAAAGTATGAATCGGAGGCCCTGGATAAAAATTCTCGAGGAATTTTACGCAACTGTTCTTACGAAAGACGGGGAAGACTACAAGCTTGATGGCTTTCATGTAATGGTTACTGCTGTCGACCGATACCTAACAGAGAAAGAATACAAACGCTCAATTATTCTCGAAGAGGTTGTAAAAGTTTGAAACGAATTCTTGACGAAAAAGCTCGACATTTTTGCGTGTATATTATTACTAGTAATCGCATGATTATCATATTTTTAATAGACTACAAATTTCACCCGCCCTACAGGCTAATTCGGTTAACCTTTGAAAAATTTATGCGCGCTGATTTATCCCAGATTGCACTGAAAATCATGTCATTACCTATACAAATTTCGTTAATTCAGTTGATCCCTGGCTCAGTACGGTTTTGCGAATTTCGTAAAGCTGCATTTCACGACACCACATTGTATGTGAGTCTACATGTGCGTAGGCGCCAAATTAGTTTCTTCGATCAATGTGGTCCAACATCAGTCTGTTTTTGTGGAAAATTTTAATCCCGAACTCAGCTTGGTTTCGAGGGTCCGTTTTATGTAATAATTACTGGTAAGAAAATAAGCGCGGGATAATGGTCATCACTCTGTCACGGAAAAGCAAATCTTTCCCCTCATGATATTAGACGTTCTTTGCAAGCTTAAGTACATTAGAGACCAAACTTAACAACAGGCTAACGAGCTATACGAGTAATTTCTCGAAACAGGAAAGGAGATCTACATGCCGCCAAAATTGTGTTATTGACTAATGTCAGCCAATCCTCTCAGTGCAAGGCGGAAACGAATTTCATTTATATTGTTGACTGCCCATTTACAAAGCTTTAGTACAATGGCAAGGTATTTTGGTTAAGAATAAGACCTACTCCTAACTCAAGACGCGCCGTCATTTTCAAGAGTGAAATGGAAACGTGTGGGCGATCTCACTCGGCCCTCAAAATAAAACCAAAACACCAGTTCAATTAAAAGTGAGTTAGGCATGAAAGGAAGATGTACATGCCTCTCACAAGAATGTCGACAGGCAGTTTTTGCCTTGTCTTGATGGGTTACTCTTAAAGACTTAAATGCTCGAAAGTTTGTGATGAATACTCTTCGATAATTGCCTTCTTTTTTGATCGACTTCAGCTACGAAAATATAGATGACTATTTTTTTGTCGTAGTTTCGCATATAAGCCATGACAGGTGATCTTTTACCAGGTTAATATGAATTGGCTCGTTAGGGAAAACCTGTTTCAGTTATAAATAAGACGCACTTAACATGGTTGATCAAAGGTACTCACTAACAGTAGTCAGTAAAAAGTAAACGGGAAAAGTAGCTCTGAGGCAAAAAGCAGCCACATAAATAAGGACTGATAAGAATTTGGATGAAATATCAAATTTCTTTCTCAAATTTGCATGACAAAACCAGCTGACGCTCACTGGGTAAACTTTGAGCACGTTGCAGTCGTTACGCTTACGTTAAGTAGCTTAGGGTTTTTTTTAATTTTAGCCTGGGTTTTACGTTTCGTTTCGTTGCAGGGTTTGGTTTCCAAAATCTGTGGTTTGCGAATTGGGAGGTGAAAACATTAGGAGGATGCGTTCTTCAAGAACACGTTGTTAAAGAAATAAATTTAACCATGGGAATTGAGCCAACGGTGACTGTAGATACGAGTGTCATCTGGAAAGTTCTTGTGTATCTGTGAACATTGGCCCACCCGACAAAGACATGAATGATAAAAAATGAAATCGGCGTGACTGTCATAAGACACGACAGCGAAAACAGGACTTTGGTGGACGGATATGAACCCACGGAATCTATTCTCATTTCTTAACTGGTGAGCCTCATCAACGTGTCCCTGCACTGTGAGCAGTTCATCAAGTACGAGTTCAGAGGATCTACATTGGAAGATGGCTTTTGGGTTTCACATGATTCAATAGAAATGACATTCTGGAGTGGTGCGCCACCTGAATATCAGGTGAGAGTTACACTGAAGCTCGAATTTGTTCTTACGAGATTGGGTTTACTGTGGCCCCTCCTACTAATTCATAACACATAATTCCCCATCCAGGGATATGTTTCCGTGGCATTTTTATGATACCCACTTACGCTCGAAAGTGGAGGAGCTTTGAGAGTTAAGATGGCTGAATCGATATCTTTCTCATACAAAAAAAATCCTCATACAACTTGGTCGATTTCTCACTTAACGTTTCATTTCTTTTCACAATTTTATCAAAATCTTGCAGTGACTTAAAGAAGCTTTAACCCAAGACAACAAGTGGAATCTGTCTGATTGATCCTGATGGTGAACGAGGATTGCTACCTTCCACGTCACATCTGACATGAGTCACGACAGCGAGAACAGGACATTGGTGGACGCATATGAAGCCGGGGGATCCTACTCTCGCAACATTTACTACAAAGGAGCGAACATCTCTCAACTAGTGAGTCTCATCAACGTTTCCCAACAGTGTGAGCAGTTTATCAAGTACGAGTGCCTCGATTCTACAATGCATGATGCTTTCTGAGTGTCACGTGATTCAATAGAACTATTGGGGCGGAGCAGCTCTTGATCCAGATAGTCCTATGAAGCGGCACATGCGGAATGAACGACACCTGTCCAAGAAAAGAGAAAGTTTGTAACTTTTTTACAGGTGAAAGAAACTGGCATAAAAATAGTGGTCTCCTCACTGAAAAGACACATCTACCAGTTAAACAGCTGGGGTTTTGAGATACAGGTACTGACGAGATATCGAATATCGACGAAAAGGGCTACCATACCTAGGGAAAAATTTAAGTGTTATGGAATCCAGTGACTTTGTAAGATAACATCAGCGAGATAGTCTACCAAAATCAATGCTGGTTTTCCTTTCCTTCCTAATTGATTTACTGATTTATTCCCTTAGTTTGAAAATATTTGTCATGGAAGCGTACCATCGCTTAAAGTAGTCATGATTTGGTAAGCACAGAAAATGTCACCTTCAAACAATACTGACCCAGGTGAAAAAGTTATGCTGCGGCGAAACGCATTGTCGTACAGAGTGAAATTCGATCAAATGTGGAGTCATGTGAGAACACTGAGTTCGTGACGTTTAGTGCAAATATAAATGACACTGTACTGAGATACTTACCTAAGTGTATTGATAAAAATTGATTTATTTCAATCAATCATAAATATTTAATCTAAAATGTCTTAACAGTTTACATAAGTCAAATAGATCTTCCTTTACTAGCTGTGAAAGACAAAGTTTACAAGAAAGATTTTCTTTCAAGACTTTAGGATGCCTAATTTTTTTAAATTTAATTAAATCCAAAATAGCCACGTTATGGAAAAATGGATCATTTTTGAATGATTAGACGGTTCTCTTATCATGTTTGTGTAAATAGTATTAACAATTGCTTTAAAAAAGGCAAACTTTCATTGTAACTCAAGCAAATGTAATAAGTATCGATGATTTAAGAAGAATGATGAAATCTTATCGTCAGTGACCGTACTATATATAGAGCAAGTGTATGTAGTCCAATTGTGAATAGCGAAAGTCGATCCTAGTATCCCGCGTGTAAACGTTTTATCAAACTTGATACTTGCCATCTTTAACACTTGTAATTTCAAGTCGAACACCTGTAACCTAGACTTGTAACGATGTTTATTAAACTCATTTTCGTCTAGACTTGAAAATACAATGGTCCGAATTGTAGATTACAGGTGTAAATATTTTATTGTATGTTTTTCCTTGAAAACTCTGAGAAAAATCGAAGCTTGTTAAGGGGCGATAGAAAGGAGGTGGCGGTATCGAGGACTTCATAGTGGCAAAAAGGAGCATATAGGAGTTATATGCTTCCGTGAATCAAAGTGGCTGGGAGCTACTAAACTCGGAACATTAATTGGGTAAAACTGAGATGTCAAGTCCAACCGAGTGCATTTCGCATTTTTCTCTAAAAAAATTAGAGTTTAAGGAAAATCCTCCTCTATTTCAGTCCTGTGGAGGGCATCTATGAGGAGGAGAACTGGGTATGACTTTTTCAGGCTCCTGACTCCTTCCTCGGCCAATATGGCGGCTGAAATTTGTGTCTTTTGACTAATTTTCGCCGATCGTGATTGAATGATATTGGAGAATCATGCATTTTCATTTCCCAAGAATTAGAGTCGCTAGGAATAATTTTACAAGGTTACTTTGCTCTGCGCCAAGAATCGGAGACAATTTCTTTGACGAAACTGAGGTACGAGAGAAATTTAGAGTGCTAGGGACCGGTGATGTGACTCTATCCAAGCTAACAGGGAATAACAAAGGAGTTGCAGTGATATCTCTTACCAATCCTAAAAGAAAAAATGCACTTACAGGGTACATGATGGTTAAACTTGCAGAAGTAGTTGACGAGCTTGAGCAATGGCAGCATGGAAAAGCTGTTGTTTTGCATGGCAGCGAAGGGTCTTTTTGTTCAGGGGCTGATTTGAGTGTAATAAAGACGATCAATACCCCAGAAGAAGGACAATTAATGTGTGCTTTTATGCAAAGAACTCTGAGTCGCCTGGGAAGGCTTCCTCTTGTCAGCGTGGCAGCTATTGGAGGAAGAGCGTTTGGTGGAGGAGCTGAGGTAAGTAGTTTAAATGCATAAAGAGGGCAGCTTAAGGGCAGTCATACCAAAACGCTGAACGCAGATCGTGCAGGCAACGCAGACTGTGTACACCGCGCAGACCGCACTTTGTTCGCGGGAGAATTTCGACTGTTACAGTGCTCGCGAGACACTGACAAATTAATTCATAACCTATCACGCAAACGCCTCCAATTTCACCAGTATTTTGCGGTTTTTTTTTGCTGCCTGAAAAAAAAATACGTTTTCTCGCTTGTAAAATTTTATTTTACGTCTCGGTGGACGTTAAAAGGAAGTAAAAAAAACTTTGCTGGGAACTGGTTTTGATTGGGTGACAAGCAATAATAAACAGCAAACGAGTGCCTTCTGATTTCTGCTCCCACTTCCTGCCCTCTCCCGATCCCATTTCTCCCGGGCTCCAGCCCCCTGCCCCCCTCCACTCCTGAGTACTGATTAAATATCATCCAAAAACATATTCGGAGACCCTAATAAGAAACTATTTTGCCACAAGTTATTTGTTTGTTTTTCGGTTGGTACAAAGAATGAAACTATCTCCCATAGGCGAGACGAACGGATCATCTGATGACGTTTCTTTCTAGGGTATGACTAATGGATGTAACTTAGGTAAAGAGGATCATGAATTGTTGAGTGCTTTGCTGACCAGACTGCATTGTTCTTCTTGTTGATAATTTGGTGTCAAGCAAATCTTATCTTCTTCCTTCACCAGTTATCATTAGCATGTGACTTCAGACTCATGTCACAGGATGCAGAGATCAGGTTTGTTCAGGTCAAGATGGGTTTGTCACCAGGGTGGGGTGGTGGTGCAAGGCTTGTCAGGTTACTAGGGAAACAGAAAGCACTGCAGCTACTGGGAAGAGGAGAAAAGGTTACCCTACCACATGCACTTCAACTGGGACTGGTTGATGGTGAGCTACCAAATACAAAGGTAATTACTGATACTTTCTCTACCGATATTATATCTGTTTCATTTTAATAATAACCTTACTTTTACCTTGATATTTAAGATCTTGTAATGATTAACACAGCAATCAAGGTGTTTTAAAACTGTATAATTTTTTTTTGTCTGTTTTAGTTTCCATTTACATATCCTATGAACATTTCAATGTTTGTGTGGTTATTTTGTATGGTAGCAGTTGTCTATTAATTGTTTTCCTGTGAAATGTTGTGCAGACAATAAACTGACAGACAGCCAGCCAATATTGATCTCATAGCTCATACTTGACATTTGACAGTTTTACTGTAATCAAAATGTGGGAGGTACCTGTTGTTTGGGATCATGCAAAAGGATACTGTGGGGAGAGGGCTCACCTTCCCCCCCCCCTACTGTGGTACAGACTTGATTCTCAAACTTGGCATCACACAAAGATAGAGTTTGTTGTTGGATCTTGCCCTTGCACATAGTTTTTCCGTCAGCCATGAAAACCAGCATTCCAAATTTTAATTTTATTTTAGCTACCTAATGGATGATCAAGTGATAATTCTAATGTAGTGATCCCATGTTTTCTCATGTTATTACTTCTCTTGATATTGCATCTTAAAAAAATGATCAGTTTAAGAGCAGATCTCAGGTTTAGTCAGTGGAGTGGTAGCCCAACATTCAGCATAGAATTGTATAGAACAATCCTTTTTTTGTAATTTTGGACCCATCACTTTGTTGAAAAACTACCTCTATAAAAAGTCACAAGAACAAAGAACTACCATGAAATTGTTGGGGAACCTTAAACCAAAGGTATGCTGTGGTATACTAACTGTGCCATTCCACCCACAGAACCTAAATCTGTAGAAGTACAGTATTTGTTTTCATCCTCTTGCTGAAGAAGCTTGAGTTCATTTAAGCATTGTTAGTTGAATAAAAAAATAAATATGTTGCATTTTTATATCCTACAAATTAAAAAATCATAGTTAATTACAAGTTCTTTTCTTATAGGATGTGGTTACTGGAAGTTGCAACTGGTTGTCAGAGTTCCTAGCAGCAGACACTTCAGTTCTGAGAGCTATTAAGAATGTTGTATCAATAGGAGACAACTCAAGGCTTAAAGATGAACTGGACATTGAGAGGTAGGTTTCTATGTCAATGTGTACAAGTTGACATGATTGTTATTGTAAGGAAGTGATAGTTAAAACAGAATCATTTCCACTCAAAGTCACATGTACCAAGGAATAAGAACATCATATTACGCACAAGCTTATGTTGGTGGTTGTATTTTATAACTACCAAGTAAATAAACAAGTCAAATCTCAACAGGTGTTTACTAAGAACAAGCTTTCAAGTCCCCTTAATCCAAGATATCTATTGCAATTAATGCTAGTTGTATTTCTAAGCACATTTTTGTACATTGGGTGCACAGTTATAGCATAAAATGGAAAACCTCAATTCTGTGGAACCTGACATTAAGCAGTCACCCTGTGGGAATGCCAGGTTTGACTGTAAATGACTATTCATGTAGAAATTCCATTATTCAATACCATTAGGTGCTGAATAGTATAATAATGATAATATTAGGATTATCATAATGAAATTTTCCCAGATGGTAATAATATTAATGTTAGTATTTCATTTTATTGCAGATCAATTTTTTCAACATTATTTGGAGCAGAAGCTAATAGGAAAGCTTTGGAAAATTCAAGAAAACACAAATAGCATAATGTTTTGTAAATGAAGTAATTTAAATCCAATTAAATTGTTATCAAAAGTAGTTTTATTTCAAAGGTGTGTTCATCCCTTCACTTTGAAGAGTGAGAGAGAGATAAAGAGTGTATGTAACTCAAGCATATACATCAGAAGCTTTTGTTCTGATTAATGTCCAAACATGTCAGACTTCCTGCAAAACCTCCATGCGTATCGCTAAAAATGTACACATCAGTAAGTTCTATAAAATGAAAAATACACATACCATAATGTTACTATAATTATAATATACCAGTACGTAAAATTAAATTGAACTATAAGGTGAGGAACTGATTTAGACAAATGTTTGTATTTTGAAGCCTTTTATTTGTCCTCTTACAAACTTAGGTCAAAATAACTTCTTCCAATTTGCAAAAAGAATGTATTTATTTTACAGGATTAAAATAACCATAGCTGTAACACCTTTGATGCTTCCATTGTAGTTTACCAATATGTTCATGTATCTCACATGAGTCTAACTGGATGATTCCCAGTTGTAATTGAAAATAAAAAATCTGAGGATGTCTAGTTAGACTGATGAAGCAACAATAAGTGCAAGAAGTAAAGCATTTTGATGCTGATGTTTGCTTCCACCCATCACAACATCATGACCAGAGGAATTGAATCTCTTCAGTCCTACATGTGATGATACAGCTCCTGATATCACTTTGAGAAAACTTGACAGCACTTGGAAACATTTTTCAGGAATCTGTCTTTTTGCAATTCTTTTTTGATACCAATTTAACTCTCAGTGCCTTTTTCAGTATCTTCAGCTTCCTCATCTTTTTCTGCCTCGTCCAAAGCATCTAAGGTTAGAGCTCCCACAGCAAGAGCCTCACGGTTCCTTGCTGCTGTAACCAGGCTGCGAGGATGTGCTGGAAGAATTCCAGCCTTATGAAGAGAAATTAGTTTGTTTCTGATAAGTTAAAATACTCTGTTGACATTTAATTGTACTATTGAGTTAATGTCAGTGATAGTTTGGGTGATAAGTCCACACCTTTTCAAAGACTTCTAGTTCAGAACAAAATGGTGCACGACATGCTAAGAAGTATTATTATACAGATATAGATGAAATACAGGAATTTCTCTTTTTCAAAAAAAATGATGTCTTCACTGTATAAGGGAAAATACTGAACTAATACATATAAATAAGTAGCACATCATGGTAACCAGATTTACTGATCCATTGGTAAAGGGGCCAACAGATTGAAACAGACCAATGACGATTGACTAACGCCACTTGAGTCTTGCAGCCCATTGCATCACAGCTAGAATGACCAATTGGTTTACACAAACTGGACTTAGTACATGTGACTTACATCAACTATTCACCAGACTCTGATGATGACTTTCACTCAGGTTGTTGAAATGACAGTCACCACTACTAACAAGAGTCCTTCCCAGGACTACACTCACTCAGACAATCAGACTTCTGATTTTTTTCTAACTTTTGATTTTTCTTTTCTTCGAGAAATTTTTTCATTTACCGATATTTCCATGATTAATTCAACTTTTTGCATAAAGAAGGGTAAATCTTTTTCAAAGAGAGCTTGTTTTATTCTCAAGTCAAAGTTGAAGTTGTACACACTGAGTTTACACGCAAGTGATATTTGTATTCAGTCCTCTTAAAAAGTGTTTAAAATTGTTTTAGATTGATATATCAGTATCAGTATAATAATACACAGAACATTACATGTCTGCCTGTGGATACGAATTTATCTTCTAGTGATAAAAAAATCTCTCTTACAGAAAAGAAATAAGTATGCAACCACTGTCATGCAATATCCTTACCCAAGACTCAAGCCCCAGAATAATATACCCCAATTTGGTCACATGCCCATTTGGGCTAAATACAGGAGTGCTGTGGCCAAGAATTATGTACCCAGGAAAAACCTGGCTCAAGGGGGAAGAACTTATTTCAAGCCAAAATTTGTCATCAACTTACCAGGCCTAATAAAATGGCCACTGGTCGGGAAGGTCTAGCTCCAACTGATAACCAGTATCTGAAAAAAATGCATTAAAGAGGATATCACGATCACATTGAAATTTCCGGTGTACTCACTACTTGAAAGGTATGGAGAGGGTATAGACAAAAGCTTATAAGCTTCTGATATGGATCAATAATATTAAATAAAAATTCAGCGCATTTTTATAGACCTTACCTTATTCTGTCCATATTTAGGCTCACTAGCTTTTCATTTCGAGTGTTTGGCAAAGGATCATAAGTTCCCACCTAGGAATATGATTTCCACATTTCAATGAAAGCGCAAATACAAAATTGCACCGACAACAGTTCCAATCCAGGCATGTACATCGACACACAACCATGTAATTTTCCCCGTCTTCAAGGAACTTTTTTCCTTTTAACTAAAGTACGATATATACCTGCTCAAGAGCTCCATAGTTTCGGGGTCGTTTCCTGTTCGTTGCCACAATATGAAAGAAAGGTCTGTTCTTGCAGCCATAAAGAGCGAAACGCAACGTAACGATAGTTTTAAGCTTCTTCATGTTCAGCGGGAAGGATGGCCGATTACAAGAAATCTACCAGGCTTTCCCTAAGTAAACGCGTAGGATCTGGTAGGAGTAGAACCCAGACTCTTTCTAAACGGAGAAAACAATATGGCGGCGGATGTGACACTTCGAACGTCCGTTGTAGAGATGTAGGTAAATTTACTTCAATGTCATGAAAGGAGCAATGAAATTCAGAGATAACTGTGCGTTTCAAGTTCTTGATGGAGGATAAAAGTAATTCTTCGAGAATTTCTTCGAAGACTTCTCAGGTATTCCACTGTATGGCATGCATCATCATGATGTCAGTTGTTTAACTTGCAGTATGTAGAGTTGATTTTTAAGAGTTCTTTAGATCATTAAGCTTACTCTTATAGAATTTAATGTTTTTTTTATTTTAACTAGGTTTTAGTGCAGCCTCTGGATGATTCAAAAATAAGAAATTTGCTGCATACTTTAGAGGATTTAGTGAAATCATCTCTTGGACCTTCTGGCAGGTTGTTGTTTTTTTCACATTGCATTTGTGTCTGGAAAGTCAACTATTTAGTATTCCTGCCAAAGTTCTTTTAATCAAATGCGAGTGATTTACCCTTAAACATCTACCCAGCTCGGCTCAGCTGAGTGCTTTTTTGGGTCATTGAAAAGTATAAAAGTGTGGACAAGGAACTTGGGACTGTGGACTACGTGGACTACCATTTAGTACCGTCCTTAAACATACTTTTTGGGAATGAGATATTAAGGAAATCAACAATGTTGTTTTTGTTTCTAGATTCCTCTTTTGTGATCGGCACAATGCTTTAAGATTTTAATTCAGTAACATCAAAATGTGGTTCATGTTCTGCATCTGGTCCACAGTTCCCAGTCCATGATTTAGAAAATATATTTTTTAAGGTGGAGCTTGAACAATGTTGTTATGTTGATATTTTCTCCAACCTTGCTTATTACTTTGGTATTTATCATCAATAATGAATTCTGTACATCACCTTTACAGACTAAAGTTCTTTCAGACATCTGGAGGTGGTCATGTTACTGTAACATCAACATCGAGCAAAATTCTTCATAGTTTGTCTGGGTTGTCACATCCTATATCAAGGTTGATTCTCTCTGCTGTAAGAGGGCATCTAGATGCCTATAATGATGGTGGTTTGAGGACAGCATTGCTTATGTTAAGGTAACTCTCTGGCTTAAAATCTACAGCAAAAAGATCACATTTTAAGATCTCATAAGTAATTCTCCTTACTGTCTGCCAAACAATTCTTATTATGTTAGTTTGGAGAATTAAGTATTGGATCAATTGGTAATTCCATAATTGGTACTTTTCTTAATTCTCATCACTTGTCTACATGATATTGTATAGATATAGTAAGAAGAAATTCTGTCTTGGTCACTTATGGGAGTTGAAGGTTAAGCCCTTGTCATTTATCAGGTCATGCTGACTGCAGGCTAGTGTATTTACCTCATATGGTTATATTTACTGTACAATGTACATTTTTTAATGTAATCTTTTTCAAATTAACTCAATTTTATTAGCTTGATACAATCAGCCATTGACATGCAAATTCCAAGAGTGCTAGTGACACAGATCTTTGAACATTCTCTGGAAGTCTTGTCTGATCACCTTGAATCATGTCACTGGAAAATGAAGATGGATATTGGACACATGAAAAGCATGATGTCTGTTGTGAACAGTATTATTGGAACCAAATCTGCTTGTCATCTTAGTGAATCAGAAAAGCAATATATCAGTGTGTTACTGATCAAGGTAGGATAGTTGATAAGTCTTTCTTCATGTACAGTACTTTTTGTTGCACAACAATAAACTGATTGATATGGATTAATTTTATTAATAATTGTCAATTGTAGTTATACTTCCTAATTATGGAAGCCTATAGTCAATATTTTATTAAGGAAATCACCTAAAGGATAGAAAGATACAGTACTGTAGGATTATGGACCTCTAGTACTGAGGCATGAAGAAAGCTACTTGATATATTGCATTCAGGAAAGAACTACATGTACTCTGCAGCCAGGCTACATGTATATACTGAAGTTTATCATCAGTTACACAACCTGACAAATAAAAAGAATATTTTTCCATGCACCAAATGATTGACATAGTTAGAACAGATTCAAAAGGATGATTGTTAATGAAATTTATTTTTGTATTTACATTTATCTGTCATGTTTTGATTTTAGGCTTTTCTCCAATCTTTGCCAAGTAAGACATGTAAAGATTCTTCCTGTTCACCTTTGGCACCTCTTCCAGTCCAAATAGTAACTTGTGAGGGAGATCCTGTGAATGAATCCAAAATTTTACTAGGTGTCCTTTTACAAGCCCCTGATATTCCTACCTTTCGACAAAACAAGACCCTTGTAAGCCCTGCTGCCAAGGTTGCTTTATACAATGTATCAATGGCAGGAGACACTGATGAATGGTTCAGTGATAGTGTGAAGACAGAGGCAACAATGTTTAGGCATGATGCTAACATAGAAAGTGCAACTGTGCGTCAAATGCTAAAGGTTGCTGATTGGTTGATTAGTACTGGGGTGGCTGTTATTGCTTGCCAGAAGTGTGTACATCCTGCAGTCAAGCAATATTTGCGAGATAAGGTTTGCATTTTTTCTTTAGTCTTGAGTGAAAACAAAGTTTTGATTTGAACTTTGTGGATGAGTATTCATTGATATATAAATTTTCTGTTTTTTTTTTTACTTGCTGAGGCTTGTGAAGCTTAAGCACTGGTAATGAATTACTTTAAATACTTGAAATAACCTCAAGAGATATCAGCATTTATTTAAGGGTGGTGCTTGTTTAATTTTTTCCAAATCTTGGCCAGACAAAATGTTTTTTTTTTTCTGCAATATGAAATCTGTATACAAACAACAGCACAGGCTGAGAGTGTGTTACAAAGCTTATCCATAAGTTGTGGTCACATAGCACAGCTAGTGCTCACAGTTACCTTAATTCCAAACTCTAGCATGTTCACAAACTGAGAAAGTATGGTGATATGTGCAAATTATAAACTGCAATATAATTATACTCTTAAAGAGTGTGGCAAACATGATTACTGAAGAAAAAGAATAAGAAAAAGAAAATCAGGGGAAAGAGAGAGGGGGGTTGCCAGAAAAAGGGTTCTTCTTAAAAATTTGATATGTTAGTAGAGGTGCCTATTGAATGAGGGGTGCTAATTTATGAGAATTTACGGGTGAGAATTTATGCTAAAAGAGTTTCAAAACTCTTTTTCATTTCTATTTTAAACACCAGTTTGTGTAGGTCACAATACTGCGGGATTGGCTTGATGTAACACAAAGTCATCAAGTGTAACTCAATTTTGTCCTTGTTTGAATTTTTTAAGGGTGCTTTGGTGATTGATCGTGTCTCGATTGTTCACATTACGGCTGTACAGAGACTGACTGGGGCTGTACTCTTGAGCACTTTCACCATGGACATTCCTGTGTCAAACTTTGGACAACTGGAGAGGATTGAACATATGGTGTTAAATAACAAGAGGTCTGTTTGAGTTTATCCTCTGTCACAACATGTATGGACTGGAAGTGAACCACTAACATCATCATTATTAGTAATATTAGTATGTCATGCTTAAGTTTATTTCTCATCATCCTGCTGCCATCATTACCATCTGTTTAATTTCTTGTGGATCTTGATATGGCTTCACTTGGCCAGGGTTGTCAAAAAGATTTTGAGTAAGCAGACTGTGATACAAAGTAGGCTGCAGAATGTCATGGCTCCATGATGAAAATTGAGCCACAAGCATTTGATATAACTGGCATGTTTTTTAGAGCAGTTTTTCTGAGAAATGCACCAGTTGCCAACTTATTTTAACAACCCTGCATGCCTTTTTTTCTGTTACCAAGTCTTTGCTTGGCCTTCAGCTATCAATTAGACAACAAATTAAGCAGGTTTTTACTTTTTATTCAAATGACTCATCTTAAAAAACAAATGCTCATAAACCATAATCTACAACAATTGTACACATGATGCTCACTTTCTATCGAGAGAAATTAAAAAATGTTGGCTTTCAGTAATGTGATTTCTTTGTGCACAGCTACATTCATCTGTTTCCTCAACCATCATTAAAATCATCTCCCGTGTGCACTCTTGTGCTGTGTGCACCAGATGAAACTTCCCTTGAGGAGCTCAAGACAGTTTGCCAAGCATCCATCATTGCATTACATGAGACACTTAAACAACCATATGTCTTTCCTGGTGCTGGCTGTCTGGACACACACTTAGCATCAGTGCTAAGAATGTATGGGAAAAACTGTAGTTCAGAGAAATCCAGAGATCTTGGCTGCTCTAAAGGTAAAAAGTTTGACATTGTTACATAGTTTGGTAACATTCTATTGGAGATTTGCAGCAACCACTTTATCCACTCAAATTTCTTAGTATGAAAATGGCTTGTTGAAGAATACTTGTTATTTTTGATTATTACAGATATACAATCATGTAAATTGTTCAAAAAGTTTTTCTAATCTCCCACATTTCTGCCTTAGGTTTTCCTTTAAGGTGCATTCAAGTTTCATCATGATGAAATTCATTTTAAATATTAGTTCATAACATTGCAGAATTTTTAGATTATATCTTTGCAAGTGTTCTCTTAACTCTAGAAATGTTGTTTCTTAGGTCAGATAATTTCTGTTATCAACAATGTAGCCCTCTGCTTGGAATCCTTAGCCAAGTGCCTAGAACATGATGGTGGGATTGAGATTACTGACTCAGCCAATCACCATCATTGGAGTCTTTCTCCTGGAGCACTGGAACTGAAACCCAGCATGCCTTACTGCATGTGTGGATTGGTGTCACATGACCATTCATTGGAGTGGAGCATGATGGGAGAAATGATCACAAATACCTCATTTGGTAATGGGGATAAGTGTTGCACTGGGAATAGTAACAAACTATTTGAGAATGTTGTTGTGGATATTTACTCAATGAAGATAAATTCATACAGAATTGCATTTGAAACTGCCAATGCTATACTAAGAATTCAATGTATAGTAAATAGTAATGTGGTGTAAATATTATAATAGTAATTTGGTGGTAACATGATGACATGAAGATAAAAACAAAATTTACAATATAAAATCTAAACCTAGCACAACTGAGTAGTTTGCTTAATGCTGTTGTCTTACCATTTAACCCTTAACTTCCAGTAGTGATTAATGTGTTACTTCTCTCTATAATATCCATACATTATCTAGCAAACAGGTAATGAGAATACTCAAACTTATCAAGTAGAAGTGGTTATCTTGATCTAACACCAAATTCTTGTAACTAATCTACAAGGAAATGTTTAGCAGCCAGAGCAGAGGATTAACAATCAGATATTGGGAGCTTAAGAGTTACAGATGATAACATAACACATCCCAACAAACACAATGTAAAGATAATCAACTAAAATTCAACATTTAAGGTTTTAGATATTTATTTTAAAATAGTTACCGTTAAAATTTATTGACTTTCTACTCTAGTGATTATGTTTCATTTTTTACAAAGAAATTTTCTCAATATTTGGAAGCATTTAAAACACTCAAAGAGCAGAGGAAACGAGACACAAGATTATCTTCCCCACTACCTGTCCTTCATCTGAAGGTAGAGACGTGCGTGGAGGAAGAACTACGGGTTTTTAAATAAGAGGCATTCCATATGACGACACCGGAAGTTCGTGTTGGAATGGCACAATCGTTGGTCAGCGGATAACCTTAACTTCCGGTTGATCTTTTCTTTTCGTAGCATACGACAGCTGTTGAGTTTTATTTGGCGGTTGTACAAATATTTGTGCGTTATTTATGCATCATGGTCGTGGTGAATTAGTGAAGAAGCATAGGAAAGCCTTAAAATAGTTTATCACAGAGCTAAATGTAATACTTTTGACGCGGATAACACATGACGAGGCGATGCAACAGTCAAGTGTCGACCACGGAGAACGGGGAATTGAACATTCGTCCTCGACAGTTTCTAAAATTGGCTCTTGTGATCGGATTTATGATCGCAGTTGCTCTCATTGCTTTGTACTACAGGAACTTTTTGATAATTTTGATTATCATAGCCGTGTGGATCTCTTAACCAGCGAAGGAAACACGTCCGTAGATGCTTCACATTTGAAGATTCTCCGTTATATTGGACGACACTGTGGATGGCTTTTCAATTCGATACTGTCTTGTTTCGCCGTTCAAGTTTCAATTACAGTACTCCAGGTTGTATACTCTTGGTCGCAACAATTCGTTTTGGTCTTGAACGATCTATTTGTTTCAGACATACCCATGGAGCAGCTAAAAAGAACGAACTATCGATTGGGTAACCCCGAAGTGATATGAAGTGCGTCTAGTCACTATGGAGTTTTCGCCTTCCCTCAGGAATGAAACTCTGTAATTAGCGTAAACAAAAAGGGACATGAAATAAATTATAAATTCATGTATCACTTTCAAAAGTAGTTACTTAGAGATTTCAATGAACGGTGGCTTCTCGAGAACTTTTTTGAATGAGATTGACAGTGCATGATGTTAAAGTAGATTTAGGTCATGATCTTTAGGATGTAGCGATGAATTGAAATATACCAGTATCGATCCTTCATTCCTGTAGTCGGAATTAACTAGACAGAAGGGAATGATAGAAGACGTAAAACTTAACTGCATGCGCTTGTTTTTTGTTTTTTTTTTTGGCTTTCGTTTAACATTATCATCCTGTGCCTTAAGGGGTTCAGGAGTAACTACTGTATTCAATTTGACGGCTCAGCGGTTGGTTCGGATTTCAGTTAAAATACTTCTCACTTCCCACAGTTACTTTTTAATGCAGCTATGATAATATGTTATGCAAATCACCGTGAGTTTTTCTTCTTTCGATGAAACTACTGTTCCATGCTCTACTGGAGCAAAACGAATACTCAGCTGCTCACCCATCAAACGTATTGACTCAAATATCAGCAAATGTAAATCTGGTCACAATCTCCTTGCTTTTCTCTTCTCTAAGAGTTAGATATCAAGCATTTAAATTGAATAAAAGTAAGAGATCAGCTCTGATAATTAACTTGGTTTGGGAACTGGGAAAGTCACTTATTTTTTCATGTTAAGCATAAACCTGGGTTTAAAAAGTCATCATAATTGTAACATTTCAGACAATCTTTTATTACTGGGGTCACTAATGTTAGGATTTTGCTGTGTTTTAACTGAGTAATGTAGGCATGATAATTTTTCCAAAACTTATGACAAAAGGTTTAGGAAAGTACCAGTGGCATATACATGTAGTCAGGTCCATCCTCAGTTTAGGGGCATCAGGCAGCTTGAAGCAAAGTATATGTCTATAAACCCCTTAAGGGATTGCTGCTTATGAATTTCCAAGACTAGAAGAGAGAGAGGGGACTTATTTAAAAGAAGGGATACTACAAGGATTGAAGACTCAATGAGAGCCTCAGAAGGTAGGTCATTATTTTCTTACGAGTTGTCATCCACTTTTGGTGAACACCAGGCCAGATATCAAATGCACCTGTAAGGTTTAAAAATGGACAGCAATTTAAAACAAAACTTACTACAGGCTTATAAGTACATGTGTATGTAGTTAAAAAATTTTTTATTCATTGAGGGGATGACAGGACTGTATAAACTGAAACCATTTCCTCAGCATTATCAGCCAGAGCATTTCATTTTCCTCTCTCTTCTTTATTTTACAAGCAATAATTTAAGCTAAATCAAGAGGGCCTGATTTGAACACCAATGGTATTTATTCAAGATGTCATTCTGATCCGTCACAGATAGTCCTCAGCTTTTAACCAGATTTTCACAGCAGTTTGTTACTGGCAAGTATGGTGCCCCAGAATATTACATAAATTGGGCACAAGCCAGGTCTTGAGTCCACACCTCTTTTACCTGGACTTTTCCAACCTGCCTAACACAACTTATCACTCGGAAATATTAATCAAAATCCAGTTACAGGTTTTGGCATAGGAAAATAGAGCACATTCTATACTTTCAGTCAATGGTGAGACAGCAAATTACACCAGTCCGTCGTCAGGGAAAATGGCATTCCCAAAACCCAACTATTTTTCACTTAAGGCTTATAGAAAAGACTTCTCACATTGTATTTCAAAGTTCAAATACAGTTAAGGTTTTGGCTTCAAATTTTACGAGTCAATTAATGTCTACTTTTCTATGAGGATTTTTATTGAACTAGTATCGGGCTTCTGGTTATTGGTGACTAGTTAAAAATAGGACAAGCAAAGAACAATGGGTACTTCACCTGTCCAGAGGCTGAAATGGGTTCGAACTGTCAACACAATAATCAACATTTTTGTAACCCTGTCACACAAGAGCATCATGGAACAAAAGAAGTTCCTAATCATTATTAACCCTGTAACTCCCATGAATGACCAAGACAGAATTTCTCTTTACAATATCAAGCAGACAAGTGATGAGAATAAATTAAGGGATTATTAGTTGATCCAATACCAAATTCTCCAAACTGATGTCACAAGAACTACCTAGCAGACAGTAAGGAGAGTTACAAATGAGATCCTAGGAGTTAAAGGGTGAAGTAATCTGATCTGTGAATGGAGAAACATTTTTCACTCCATCAGAAAATTACATTAATTTGCTAAGATCTAGTAAGCTAAGTACAGTTAGGATTCGATCAAAAGCTTACTGCAGGTATTGAAAAGTGAAAGAAAACATGACACCAAACCTCTCAGATATAGTATATCATCATTATCATTTGGAAATACATGGAAATTAACTTAAAAAAAACAAACAAACAAATATCTTACGAGACAGAATTTATCTATTACAAAGTATGTGTTTTGGAAAACTAATAAAAAATGAACTGTTTAAAGTTTATCCCTACTTTTACAAAATAAGGTACACTATTGACAACTTTTAATGTTGTAAAATGGATGTTGTTCAGCTCATGTTACAATTAACAACATCTACATATCAATATATGACAGTTTGACATGATGTTATTTATAGATCTCCTTACATCAACATAGAAACAGTCTGACAGGTGTGTAGTTCTTATTTTGCACATTGATGGATGGTTCAATGACTTGATAAAATAGTTGTTATGTCTCATGTGGATTTTGGTGCTGCTTTCCCATTTAAAATGTAAACATCATGAAGTGGCCTGAAAGAAGAACAAAATAAACATGTTAAATCATGCACACTGCAAAAGATCAGGTAAAGGAAAAGGGAAAGAAATGGGCATTAATAAAGAATGATAATGAACATTTAACCTTTTAACTCCCATGGGTGACCCTAGACAGAATTTCTCCTTAATATATCATACAATATCAAGCAGACAAGTGATGAGATTAAAGAAAAATCTTAACTAGGGGATTGTTAGTTGATCCAATACCAAATTCTCTAAACTAACATCACAAGAACTACATAGCTGACAGTAAGGAGAATTACTAATGAGATCTTGGGAGTTAAAGGGTCAACTCTTTTATCCCCCCTCCCCACCATGGTAACTATAGTAGATGGCTTGTGATAATGACTCTCAACACTGCCTCACAAGTGTAACTGAGTACTTCAAAAAGTTGGCTGGATGTCAAATTTTGTTGTGCACAATTATAACAATAAGGCAGGGAATATACTTTATTTGGACACTGAGTGTGAATGCTTTACAGTTCTGATGTGCCACAGAAACAGCTAATTTTATCTTATGAAAAAATATATCAACTAGAAACATATAGAAGAATGCCAGGCATTGTCAATAAAATAAAAATTTAATCAAAACTCTTAAAATGTAAGATTCAATTAAAATGAGAGGAAAGATTCAATGTTTAATGTATTTACCTATCATATGTATTAAGTTAAAAATTGGAGTTGGAGGCCAAAGTTTTCATTTCTAATCAGTTTGATCAAAGTTTTATGTATGACTGTGTGAAAAATAAATGCTCTGATTTCATGCATACCTATCACCAGGGTCTGTCTCCACTAGTCCAATCCTCCGCACAACACTGATCCCATGGCTAATACGGCCAAATATTGTATGTTTACCTGCAGAAAATTGCATCATTGTCTTTTACATGTACTCTCATAAAAATTGGTAACATGAATAAATAAGGAGCAGTGCTCATCATGAGAAATGCAACTTTGTATCCCTACTTCTTAAAAAAGTCACAGTGAGGCTGAGGAGGAAAGAAGGAGGGGGGGGGGAAGGGGGGATTATTCGAGGGAGATGCTTGTTTGAAGTAATGGCCTTGGGAGTAGGTACTTATTAGGGGGAGGGTGCTAATTAGAGTGCAGGCACTTATAAGAGGAAGTACAGTGTGTAAATATGGCGCATATCTCGAAGTGAATATATTCAATTGCACTTTACATAACTAACATCAAATCAAAATTTAAATGATTAAATAATAAAACTGAAATTAATAAACCTATCCCTAAAAAGACTAAGCATGTGATAGATTAAACTCAAACAAAAATGCAGATCGAACTATTGATCTGATGTCAGATTTGAGCCAAGCATTAATTTTGTAAGAATTCTGAGCTTTATCAGTCAGACATGGAAGAGAAAATAAATTGCTTAGTTGAGAAAGAATATGCTGTATGCTACATTTATTTAGTTCATTCCATCAGTGGTTATCTTGTGTATGAAAAAAGAAAGAAAGTTCCTTACCATCTAGCCACTGTGTTGGAGCTAAGGTAATGAAAAACTGGCTTCCATTTGTGTTTGGACCACTACATACATCAATATAACAGAAGACTCAGTGAATGAAACATCATTTTCATAGTCTGATAAGGTAAGGTAATGAATCCAATCTTTACTGACACCTTAGCCAATGTGTTGACTGACACTTTGGCTAAAACACCAGTGACACACTAACAAAATCAAATGGGAAGGAATGAAATGCCGAAAACACCAAGGACACATCAGCTGAACACACCACCAACAGACAACTGAGGCCAAGCAGGAAGAATTGAAATACCATAAACACCAGTTTATCACCAAGTCTCGAGGCTCAAATTTTGGAAAAAACAGTTTTTTAGAAAAAATGAAGTTCAATCATTAAAAAGACTGATTTAAAGTTTCGCTGTCATGTTTCGAAAAGCTATTGATCAATCATTTGACTCTATATTCAACAAAATAAAACTGTATACCTCCTTCAACATGTGATTCATTTTTTTTTTGATACTTTTGGTGAGTACATTCTCATTCAAGGCATTCTTTTGAGAGAGTTATTGATTGCTAACAAGCAATAAACAACATGCAACAAAAGCATACTAGTAACAAAAGTATACTATACTAATGAGTGAGAAGTTTATGGAAAAAGAGACCCACTGTAACTTGATCCTCTTTCAAAAGCTTAGCTAAATGTAATAAGAGTCACTGACACAACTGATGCTTCTCATTGGGAAACTAGGTGGCAAAGCATTCAAAGGCAGTCAGCCAATCCTACCGACCCATTTAATAATGTATCAGCCAACATGTTGTTTAGATGGGATTCATTACCTTTCCTGTCTGATGTGTTCTTGATAGCAGATTATTCTTTTGCTTGAAAAGTGTTTGCTGTTAACCTTGAAATCATGATTATCCTTAAGGGTAAATACTACTATAAGTATTTGGCAAGGTGATCAAAAGTAATAAAAGGTAACCTCTCTCTTTCTACCCTATTGTTTCTTGTGCAAATGAAACCAATGAAATTTTAGTGACTAGATATCACATTTGCTAATATTAACTCAATGGAACATGTTTACCTGTTTGCCATTGAAAGGATTCCTGCTCCTGTGTGTTTTAAATCTCTTGTAATTTCATCTTCAAATGCAGGCCTGTGTACAACATGTGTTAAACAAATCAATACACTTGAAAATGTAGCAGGTGATATCAAGAAGTGTTGAAAAGTAGGCTGTAAAAATTAGAAGAAAAGGGTCTCAATTGTAATGGTGATTTGGGCTCCTGAAAGTAAATTGTAGTTGTCCTCTGAAAACCAGTTCTTGGCAGTATGAATGAAAAGTGAAGCTTCACTTTCCACAAGAATATAAATTAAATTTGTACAGCTGGTATATTATCAAAACAATCAGCAACTTCTTATTTAAATCTTTACATTGTACACTGTAGCCTTTCTTTAGTTGGCTCATAGCATTCCAAAAAATTTGGCATGTATAGCAAATAGAAGGAAAGTTTTTAAAGCTGACAGGTCCATCTATAGCTATAAATAGAACAGTAAATCTGGCCAGTCATGACAAATGGAACTTGGTGTTCCAAGTAGCATTCTAGCTTGTAGTCCTCTGACTTTTATAAATTTCAAACAAGATTGTCAAAAACAATATTATTGTCAATATTATTTAAAGAACTCTTCAAAAGAGTTATGGTACCATATCGGAAGACAACTAATGAAAACAAATATAATGCATGGTAGATTTAAAAAGCTTGGAAAGTGACCAGACTCACCCATACACAGAAGCTCCTCCACGACCAGTTCCTGTGGGGTCTCCTGTTTGAATCATGAAATCCTGTCAAATAGAATTTAGTGGTGACCCTCAAACAAATTTACAAAGAATGTTATTAGATAGTTACTTGGGGTAATTGTTTACCAGGACTGGTATCAAAATGTAGTACACAGCAATCAATAGCTACAATACTTGTCAATACGAGTTTCCTCATAAAAGACATCAAGTTAATCTATTTACTTGATTAGTTGTCACAAAACAGTAGAAAGAACTACCTTATAGGCACTTTTAATCAACAGCTTCTGTTGTCTTAAACCTGCGTTTGTAATGGTTGTCTACATGGCTCTTGTAATGCAGCAGGAGGCCAGTATTGGTGGGTTTAATGTATACTTTAGTCTCAACTTGTGTGTGTTTATTAAGCAGCTGGGTGCCCGAAATAGGAAGCATGTCATTACTCTCCATCTCTATGGTAAATTTAAGAAAGGAATGGCACTGGTTTAAAATCTCAAGGGAATTGACTGCCGATGTTTTGTCTGGCATGATAGTCAGTGAGTCATCCACATATCTCTTGTATGCTACACATGAAACAGTGACATCACGTAATGGTCTCGGACTTTGGAAATAGTTATCAATCGCCAAGAAATAACTCAATGAAGCCTTTTCAACTTTATTTACGTGTGTTAAGTCTGCATCTAGCTCTCTTCTTGGCTTGGTGATACAAAAAAAATCGCTAGAACAGCTACCTTGATGCAGCAGGTTTTGCATCGCTAATCTCACCCTTACAAATAGCAACACCTAGGTATAAACAATTTCAATCTCCGCTGACGAGAAACGTATCTCTGGAGTTATGTTCTGCGCGAGAGACAGCATACTTGAAAACAAAAAAAATAGCGCGCACACATGAAAATATTATTAACTATTGTAACACAATCTCATCTGGCTTTTCCAAACCTCAAGAACATACTGATGGGGAAATGACACCTTAGACCTAACATTTACTACAACATCGCAAACGAAAGTCATTAAAAGATATCCTTACAACAGCTAAGCTTTCAGGTCAGAAGATTAAAAGCGCAAGCGAATGACAGAAGTCGCAGAAGCCTATCAACAGCTTAAAACGATCGACTGCCTTCTGCTTTCCGGCTTACCCGGCGTGTCGCCATGTGCATTGTGGAGTTATTCACTGGTCAAGTGACTCCTTTCATCGCTGTAATTCAACTGTCCTTCATTCAATGATCAAGATAGTAGATTTACTATACAACACTCGCCGTCAGTAAATTTCTTTTCACTAAGGAAAGTAGATTTACAACACAAATGAGTATACAAAGGTGACGCTGTGTAAAGCAACAACAGGCCTTTTCTCGGCAATAATCGGTCTCTAACACTAGCACTTAATGCGAGAGCGTTTGGTCAGAGCTGTTGATGAAGGATCAAAGCGGCCATCCAAATCTTTGAAAGGCTCCAAACTAAGACGTACATCAAATTTGACCTTCTCGAAAAACCGGTCTCAAATTACATACTTGAAAACATTGATTGCGTTTGTCCTTGAGAATACGCGACAAATACGTACAAAAAATACTTTTGCACATTCAGAATAGATCAAATTACATTTCCCTATGGTGAAAGAAAAAAGGAATGGCCTAACTTTTCTGGGATGTTCAGTCAAAAGCTTTTGATTTCTGCTGCTTTCTCTGCCATGTTTAAAATTAAGGTACCATAATACAATGCACACCGCTTGCGCTCTGACGAAGGGCTAATGCTCGAAACGTCAGCTTTAAGACTCTGTACGGTGGCAAATTTACGATATCAACTCATTTTATAACATTACAACTCTGATATACTCTCCCACCGACGCAGCACCACAGTTTCTTTGGAAACTTACCCCCCTTTATTACTTTGGTTTCGGTTATGTGACACTCAATCGCAAAATGCTCTTTGCATCCAGGGGCCCTTGTGGTGCGAATAGAAGACTTTCGTCAATTGAAAACTTTTATTTGTCTTAAGTGTGAAAACATTGTTTTCAAATATAACCGGTGTAATGTGGTCAGGCTAAAGAAAAGATGCCGGACCTTTTGGAGGCTGTTTCTCAAATAAACCTTCTTAATAAGAATCCTTGAGCGAGCTCGTGATAAAAAATTACTTAAAAGAAGTTGAGGACTTCTAGGAACAAAATCACGGTTAAATGACATATCCAGAGTAGTTATTGTCTGCACTTTCTGCAATTCACTCGGATAGCATAAAATCAAACTCCAGACCCTTGCCCCTGTCTAGACTACCGCTAGCTCTTGTATCGACCCAGTGGAAGATCACCTTTATTTCCTGATTTCTAAGAAAAAATAAGTGGTCCATTGTCAGGACAAATTCCTAGCACGCACTGTTAATAGCTTTCAAGGCCAAAATGAAGTTCTTTTATGAGGAAAGCCTGCGGTAAAAACTCTCCGGTTGAATTAATGAAAACGTCCATGTAATTTCAGTGGACATCACGCTTTAATTAATAGCGTAAGTGCCCACTGAAAATATTCAATTATTCAAGGAACCGCTTTGCTTTGAAAACGCCAAATGCGTAAACTAAGGCACTGTGTCGTGTCATGTGAAATGGCTATCCTTGGAGGAACAAAACAATTTATAGACTGGATCTTTGGCGGTTTACTGAGGTCAGTGTCTATAATTTGGATGGAGCTCGGCCAGGATAAGTACCATATTCTGCTATACTCTTAAAATATTTTATTACAATCGGTTACGTTTGTAGCCGATGAACTTTCCTGCATCAATTCTTTTTTTCTATTTACTGCTGCGCCGTAATGTTCAGCATCAATTCTACTACAATGAAACACAATGAACGTACATCTGAAAGTAACAACGCTTTCTTGCTCGTATGTGGGAGACCATGGACTAAAATAGATTCTTTGTTCGAAGGACTTTAATTCCATTAAATTTAGTGCTAAGATCTTCATAAACGCATGTAAATGGAAAAGCTTCATACTTGTTGTATAAGGTTAAACTGGAGCATGGTTCGTACGCTTTTGACTTTCTGACATTCCATGACTTTCCATGACTTTTTCCATGACCTTTTCCGATTTTCCATGACCCAATTGTTCAAATTATTTTTCTCAATATATACTTACAGTACCATCAATTCGTTTTTTCCTTGCATGTTAACCAAATTGTAGAAAAGAAGAAGATGCTAAGACCAGTTAAATTCATACGTATAACACGGAATCTTTATTTCCGTGCAACAAAATGACACAAGTGCAACAACACGACGTAAACAGATACTTTTTTACTAAACTTTACAGTCCAGAACTATATCTTTTAAATTTCCTAAGATAAACTTTACAGTCCAGAACTATATCTTTTAAAATTTCCTTATAAAACTGTACAGTCCAGAACTATATCTATTAAAATTTCCTAACAAAATCTATACAATGCAGACTTAATTTCCTAACAAAATCTGTACAATCCAGAACTATATCTTTTAAAATTTCGTAACAAAAACTGTATAATCCAGACTTAATTTCCTAACAAAACCTGTACAGCCCAGAACTATAAAATCTTAATTTCCTTACAATACAGTCATTGTTTCAGTGTTCACAATTGCAGTATGAGGTTTCAGTTTTCATCTACAATATAGAAAAATATATGAGTGCATCCTTGTATGAACAAATCTATTTGTTCAATGGTTAAATGCTTGCAATTCTGGTAAATAACTTCAAGAAAGCAGTACTTTTGGACAGGTTGTCACTCGGACTTATTTATCACACTCTTCCAATTCCTTGTTTAAGTTTTCTAGTTCTATCTTCTTCTCCTTTGCTGCATTTCTGAGTGCATTTGATTCGGTTAACAAGACGAGCTGCCTCTTCACCTCAGCCTCTTTAGCTAATTTGTCAGCATCAAACTGTAAGGTGGTGATCTCTGTTTCAAGTCTCTTCTTTTTCTTCTGGAAATCAGCTTTTGCTTCATCCACAGATTTTCGTTTGTGGCTTTTGGCAACATTTTTCGCAAGCTGTCGCTGCTCTTCAAGATGGGCGTGATACCGCTGTCTTCCTGCTTTAGCAGAGGTAAGAAGCTCGTTCGAAATGACCAATTTATGAAATCCATCAATACTCAATATGTGGTCATGAATGGTGCGTTGGGCAACGAAAGTGGTCTCCTTCATATTCTCAATCATTAGCTGTCGGTTAACGGAAAATCCCCTTTCTACACTTGCTTGCCCATGTGAGAGACACAAGAGGAATTTCACAACGTCCCACAGTTTGGAAAGTGAACCGACAAGACCAATGTGTTTTTGGAGAAATGCATCCAATCTCTGATCTGTAAAGTCAAAGTCTTCAAACTCAGACTTGTGCACCTGTGTAGCCCGTTCCGTAAATTCACTGTACTGTGACAACAAAATGTCACAATCATGAATATCAACCCTCTTGCATTCTACCAATTTCTTGAGGACAATCTTGAACCTCGCACAGCTTGCTTCTTTCTCTGTCACAATATGAATCGGATCCAAACAGCACAGGTTCCTGGCAAGGGAATAGGCAATTGGGGTCTTCTCAATAAGTTTTCCAACTGTAGCTGTAAGGAACGACTGGAATTCCTTCCTAAATTCATATGTCTGACGATCACTGATTTTCTTGGCTGCTTGCAATTCTTTCAGCTTCGTGGCAGCAACAAAACCAACATCCAACTTCTCCACGTCAAGGCAATTCTCCCTCTTCTTGAAGTCAATCTTCAGAAGCTTTACTGCAGAGCTGGCACCCTGGAGTACATCAGCTTTGACGAACCTTTTCATGAGACCACGAATCACCTTCTCTAGACTGCTGGCCACAAATGGTAGAAGAGGGCTGTCGCTTTGGAACTGTACCAGAAATGGTTGCAGCTGTTTAGCCACTGACTCAAAAGCAGCAAATTTGAGAGGCATTAGTGGATCTTGGGTTGAATCTCTTATCGTCTTGTAGGACTTTGAAGTTGGCACACTATATTTGCTGCTACGTTGCACCGTTGTCACATAGAAAGTGACTTCTTTCCATATTTCCTGGGCCCGTACTACAACTGGCAGGTTCTCCAGCCATCTGTGCTTGCAGTACTTAATTGGAAATACAACACTGCTGGTTATTTCTGTGTAATCCTCTCTTCGTGCTGGTGAATCCACAAATAACCAATGAAGAGAAGACAGAACTTCCTGAATGCTCCAAGTAGATGCCTTTGATCCAGCTTTGAAAGCATTGTGTACAATGTGAAGTCCACAAGAGCCTACGTTAACTAAGATGGGTGCGTTTTCGTCAACCTCAGAGATCAGTTCCTGGAATAGCTCATGCAGTTTCCAATTCACGTTAGGCCCGTCCATTGACAACTGCAATATGTTGGACTTCTGAATCTTGATACTATCAAGGTAGCTAACGATCTTTTCCAAAAGGTCGTCGGCTGTAGCATGTCCCAGAAATACAGAGGTTAGGTACCTTGTCTGCACTCTGGAGTTCTTTGCATCCCAAAACCTAACATGCAGATCCATCTGCTTGGTTTGGGTAACTTTATTGTGCGATTCATCAAAAAGTAAAACAAACAATTCAAGTTTTGTGACTTCATCCGTAAGCTTACGTTGGAAATAGGGTGCTATGCCAAAACAAGCTAAGTAAGCACATTTTTTCTCGCCACAGGAAAACTTGCTGGCTATCTGGCTGTCCGGAAACATACGTTTAAATAGTTCTGGAATGTCCTCACAGCTCTTGTAACTATAGTGAGACAAGATTACTTTCAGTGCCCACAAAACTTCTGCAGCAAGTGTCTCATTTGAAGCCACATAATTTCTTATATCACCGGCACCGGAAGAACATGGCTGTTCAGAGCGTCCTACTTCATGTGAACCACGCTGGCTTCCAACAGCAGGTAAAAAGTTTCTGAGGCTGGCATTGCTACTCTCGTCTAAAATCAAATTAAAAAATGTTTGTTTATGAATATCGTCAAAAATGAGCCCTAATTAAATGAATTTACTGTCACAGAAATCCTGGAATCTCAAAATTTCACAATAGCCTCATCGAAATTGCAATCCACTTATAAAAATAAACCATATTTTACAGGCGCCACAACAGAACTGAAGGAGGGGGGGCTGAAGCCATAATTAATCCCAATGCTGAGCCACAAATGTCAAGGAAAAATAAAAACTCACTTTTAGTGTATTAGTGTTGTATCGCATAGTATTAACTATTGTATAAATTTTGTATTAATAAATAAAGATGCGCTAAATAAAAAAATATGAAATGGCCGTTTTGCTAGTCCCTCATAATACATTAACTTTATATCTGAAATTTAATATACCTCCGAGTTTAGTCCCACCGGCCCCCAACCACCCCCCCCCCCCTGCAGCCTCTCAAAAACTCAAAAGAACACTCTTGCCTAAACATCGGTACAATCCATGCATTATCTTTGTCATCCCGAAATTAAAAAGACATTTATTTATATTCTGTCGCTTTAGATGACAAATTCTTTTGTTCTGTTTGATTATTTTGCCGATTCTTATTACACCACAGCACTTAAATCTATGTTATACCCAATACAGGCTGCATCCTAAATGAATCACGAGTTGGTACAAATATCGAGACAAATATCTAACGCAAACATGCATTTTCTTGTCTTGATGCAAACTTTAAATTCTAGTAAATTCAAATTTGAACACACAAACGTACCTTTAACAGCATCGACGTGCTTCTTCGATTTCATGTGGCTTTTCACTGCTGCTTCTCCCATATTTTGAACAGCGAATGTCTTTTTGCATGCTTTACATTTTGCCTCTGACGAAGAACTCCCGCGTTCTATCCACTTATTATACTGCGGGTTACTCAGCCAAGCATCTTGGAATTTGCATTTTCCAGGCATTATATATTAAATCTGCTTGAATGATCGCTCAAGCTCATCTTTACCTCGTGGCAGGCCTGGTCGCATGGCGATGCTGGGACTCGGCCCCAGGTCTCAGCAAAAACGTATCACACGGTATCGGGGGAAAAATGCGCGTTTGTCGTTGCAAACACGTAAACAAGGAATAGTTTATTAAACAAAAACTTGTGAAAGCAAGGAATTTTCTTTATTTTCATCTCGGTTTTTGCAAAATGTCAAATTATAACAATTTTCCATGACTTTCCATGACTCTGATCGAAATTCCATGACTTTCCAGGCCTGGAATTTTTTTTTCGAAATTCCATGACTTTCCAGGTTTTCCATGACCCGTACGAACCCTGTGGAGTCACTTAGAGTGGATTCCAGGAAAAGCTAATATTAAAGAAGGGCCATTCAATCCTGTAACACGTACTCCGATGAAAGGAACTACTGAGTAAACTGACCACGACAACTTTGAGCATGAACTCTACTAAAACTACAGTAGGCAATGATGTAAAGTTCCAAAGTTCCGAAGGTCCGAATACAAAGACAAAACATTTGCCTTGTCAGTTCAACTTCATTAACACATACAAGCTTTGTTAATTTTATAGTTTTTGTATAGTAGGCACGCTTCGGTGAGAAAGTGCACGAAACATTTCTAACCCACAAGTCTGATCAAGCATCGCTACGCTCGCTAATAAGCTCATGAAATAACTGCTACAATAAGTAAAGACGCTTGTTAGGTCACCTCTATTCAGAGTCCTCAAGCGATTTCCTCTCTTCCAGCGCCTTCTTTTCTTTCTCTGCCAACTTCTCATGCGCTGCCTTCAAATCGGCAGCAAACGTGTCGGCTAGCTCACGCACATTCTTTTTCGCCTCTTCGATGGTAGGGTTTTCTGTCAGGTAGGAGTAAAGATCTTGTCTGGTTTCCTTGATCTGTAGCTTGTACACTTCGCACACGTCATCAAGAGCAACCCACTTAGAATAGAACTGCACGGCTGATACTTTGAATCCCTTTGAAGTCCAAACTTTCAGTCGTTTTTCTTCAGGGAGCTTCATGGCTGTTTCTACCTTCCGACGCACGTCTCCTTTCGCTAAAGCCTCGCAGTGGCTCTGCATCTGACGCCAGAACAGGGCTGCACTCATCATAGTGGCTGAGAGAGATTTAAGAGCACCAATGGAACTGTGCAAGGCTTCGATGGCGGCATCTGCTAGAGCGTCATCATTCTGGCAACTCTTTATCTTCTCTGTGAATTCTATGCACTGAAGTAGGGCGTCTCGACGCATGTCTCGTTGCTTCTGCAGTTCATCCAAGTGTTTCATCTTTTCTTCGTTTGCCATCTTCATAGCTTCTTTGTATCCTGATTGGTCGCCCAACTTCTCCAGTTTTTCCACCGCCTTTTCAAAATTTCCTTGTATTCCTTCCTTAGCAGCACCAACCATACTTGTCAAACCATCTGTAAATGCTGTGAACAAACTTCCCTGCTTATCCATCGCTTTGTCTTCTCTTTTTTGAGCCTCGGTGTAAAGAACATTCGCCCTTTCTTCAGCTTCGAGCGCACTCTTCTGTCGCTCTTGCGCTTTCTGTTTCTCCCTCTCAAATTCTTCTCTTTCTTTCAGAAGAGCTCTCTTCTTTTCCTCCTGAGTGCCCTTTGCTCTCTGGGTATCTTGTAAGGCATCAATTACATCATTTGTTGCCTTTTCAAAGTCATCGCGCAGCTTCTCTGCCGCCGTAGCCATCTCTTTCGCCACGTCATTCAATACAGAGAGAGTTTCCAGCGCCATCTCTTCCAATCCATCTAGCAAGTACTGATAGGTGCCTTGGAGCTCCTGAAGTACATCTTGCGAAGCACGCTTAAAGTTGTGCACAGTGACGGCAGACTGGTCAGCCAGGTTTGTGATCTTATAGCCAACTTTCTGTACTTTAATCTGTATCTCAGTGTTACCTGCTACACCATTGTACGCCACACGGATAAAGTTTCCAAGTTTCCCTAGATCATCCACGAGGCTTGCAAGATCGAGGGAACCAAGGAGATTTTCTTTAGCCTTCCTCACCAGCACACTTTTTGGATTTGGAAGGGTAACAAGATCGAAGCTTTCTCCTTGAATTTCCACTTCTGTCTCGGGAGCAAGAGCCATTTCTTTAACTACGATGAGTATGCTGCTAATCAGAAAGCAAAATTGATACCGCACGATGAGATGCGTTGCAATTTTATAGGTGTATGATGCTAACAATTAAGACTTCCTATTTTTCTTAGAAACTTGTTGTGGCAACGTGTCTTGTTTGGATTGGTCAATAGACTCTTAGATGACTAAATTTAGTTACTAAATTTAGTAACTTTGCCACGTCGTCTCCACATTTATCTGTTTTGGCACTCTGCCCATAAGATTTTCTACGCGATCCAAACGTAGCTAACCGTTAACTCCTCGAGAAAGAAATCTCCGGTCTTTTAACTTTGTATTTTCATTTGCCGATGAAAGCAGTGACAAGAATAAAAGTAGAATAAGCTTCTCTTTCCGGGAATAAACAACCCACCGTAAACACCTCAGGGTACAAATCACCCATTCGTTATCTCCGGGGAGAAGTTTTATTTTTCTTAGAAAGACATGAATTGTTCTGTCTTGCTAACCCATTCCAGTGATCAATATCTTAGTGGTTACAAACATAAACATTGTTATTTTCAAGACGAGCCAATTTAGGCCAAACCTTCATTCGTCGAAACACAATAAATCCTTTTCGTGTTGGCATCTTCTTGATATTAAAAGATAAAATATGATTGCCATCCTTTCTCAGGTTCAACATGTTTTGCCAAATGGTCATGTTGTTGTAACTACTCCGTGTCAAACGATTTCCTTTATTACCAAATTTGGGAAATACGACAGAAGTAATTTGAACCTACAGCGTTGATTGAAATTCTTGGAAACAAATGAATAGCTTTCTTTTGCTAGTGAAATACTTTTAATAATGTCTGAACGCAAAGATCACTGTTAATTCTCTCTCACAATATCAGCTTATTCAACGCCACGTATATACATCTTTTAAAGAGCTTACTCTACATGGCACTCGTTTCAGTCAGCGAAAAGTGTTTTAACACCATAGAATCAGTACTGAAAGCAGTGAAAACGGGCGATATTCGCAGCTCCGAGGTTATGTTGAAATCACTTGGAAAAGATGGCTTGTTAGTGCAACAACAGGCATCTGTGTATTGTGATCGGCTAAAAGAAGCTGAAGATGAACACAAGAGACAAGTGGAGGCCATTACTCGACAGATAAACGAATTATATCAGGAACAGAAACAACACGAAAAAAGGAAAAAAGAATTAGAAGCAAAGAAATCTTCACTAACGAACATGAAGAATCATTACATCCAAAGTAAGCGAGAGGCTAAAGTAAAGTATCAAGAAGCAGAGAGGGAAAAGAGGGAAGCTGAAAAAAAGGACGAAGAATTTAGGACGTATTGGTGGGTGCCTATTTATGGTCAGTACCTTGCAGTGCGCGAAATAATTGAAGAAAATAATGGGAAGGCAAGAGCTGCCTCGAGAGAAATGGCCCGTCATGAAAGGGATGCGGAGGAAGCCGAAAGGAAGATTGAACGGACCAATTCTGGAATTCGTCAGGTAAGTTGCAAATTAACGATGGCAAGTATGTTCTCTTAAAAAAATGCAGAGACAGTAAAGTATGTTTGTCTTCATTCGATGTTTCCCTTATTGCACATCTTTAGCAGTTTTGAAGGTTTTACGATCGTACATGAAGCTTGCAGATAAATTTCCTGAATGCCCCTTGAATACAGAGAATGTACAGCTTTTAATGCTTGTGCCCAATCTGTTTACGAAAAAAAAAACAGTAGCAAAATGAAGCAGCTATATACCACACGCTTGAGAAAAGTGGTAAGCGATTGGTGAACGAAAAATCGTGAGTTTCAGGGGTAAAAACGTATCATAGAAGACGTAGTAAACTGATCTGGAAAAAATGACGAAATAAATACGAATAGATAACGAATGTTCAACGTAATGATCGGCGTTAAAGGGCGCTACACATCGCAATAAAACGGTTCACCTGGGGTTCACTTGAGGTTAAGGAAGGCGCACAGGTAGTACTACAAAGTGCAACCTACATTTGATACGTACTGGAAGGAGGTGTGTTGATTTTGATGCGTGTTTATGCTACATGAAAGAAATCTCTTTCATTAGGCTGAGGAAGACATGCGGAGGATTTCTAAGGAAGTGGAACAGCTGGAAAGACAACGAAAAGAACGCCACAATGAACTGGGTGACGTTAAAAGTATGGTGGTATTCATCCTCCGAGCTGTTACTTTCTGGAAGGAGGTAGTCGAACTTACCAGGGCCGCAAGAGTGAAGACTGAAAACATTCAAAAGATCGTGGAACTGGCTCAGAAGAAAGATTCAGTTCGCATACTCACAAGCAGAGGTACCCGAATTAAGATGACGTCGTTTAAAGAATGCTGGATGGAATTGGTACAGACCATCAACTCCGATGTAGAACAAGCTGATTTTTTAAAGGAAGGTACCAAATATGCACTCTGTATACAAACATAATTTTTTTTGTTTGTTTTCAAATTAGACTACTCTGCATTAAAGAATATACGACTTTGACAAAGAAATGCGACAGTCAGGTTCTGTATGTAAAGATTAACAGATATTTCTGACTGGTGCACTTAAGAAGAAGGAAAAAAATTTTCATCTAGGTTATGTATTCCTTTACGCCTCATTCACGCCCTAGCTGATTATTTGTGCTTTAGAACAGAACAAGGAACAGACAAGGCTTCTTTATTTGCTAATCTCAGTACCTCACAGAGCAGAGTATGTTTAATGGATCAAAGGGAGAGATAACTAACTCTGAAAATTTTTCACATTGAGTGTTTACTTAGGTTATCATGGTAAATCATTATGGTTAAAAATCTGAGGTTAAGATTAATCATTAATATAAGGGTGTTCTTGAAAACGTTTCTATAAATAAAAGAGCATTTGGAGGAAGCAAGTCATACACAAATAATCGTTTTACCATCATTCAACACTCCTTATTGAGTGTACATCAGTCAGTTTGTTGAAAGATGTGCTCTAAAGTTTTCCTCGAATTGAGTCGTTCAAATATGAAAAATTATGGTAACAACTTAATCTATTATATCACATCATTTGAAGTTTAGGGAAATTCACTGATCTGCACGTTGAAATGAACACTTCTGAAAACCCGTAAATGATCTAACAGAAGCCCACTGGCAAGTGTCTTGTGAATTTCACGCTCCACAGAAGGCATTTAATTGTTGGGAGGCATGGAAAAGAGAGTAGCCTCTACTCTCAAAATCTAACAAGCTCATCAAAACTTTGTGTTAGAAAAAGTATCAGGAGAGCTTATAATCCAGTCCGTCCATTGGTACGTCCTAAGAGATCTATATTATTCCCTCAAACCTCAAAGTCTTTGTCAGGATCCTTTTTAACCCTCTAACCCATCCGAGTGACTAACATCAAATTTCTCCCGAGACGAAGTCGAGGTCCATAAAAACGGCAACAAAGAACGAGGCTAATATCCAGCCATCTTGACCAAACAAGCTTGGTCAATAAAGGATTTATTATATTTGCAAAAAGATCATCGCTTTATTCAGAGTGAAGACTAGTTCATTTTTGAGGGAAGGGAAAGAAAGCCAACTGTTTTTGCAGCACAATAAACCCAGCCGTGAGTGTTGCTTATGTTTTCCATGTTTTGAGTGTCTTCTGCTGCTTTTCGCGACTCTATTGCCCACACTTTTTGCGACTCCAACGGCATGTAAGATAGACCCATCTTGCCCGTTCAGGTGGCTAATCTGAACACAGGATTCGCTTCACATTGCCCATGGGCACTGCCAGCGATATAATAAAGGTATTTAATATTCCACGAAGGAGGAATATAATTATCACGATAAAATCATCATGAAACAAAATTATTTGAAAGCTTGAAAGGAGCATTGTAAGCAATTGAAAATAGGAAAATAAATCAAACTTGTTCTCAATTTCAGGGTATGCAAAAGCTGCTATTTCCTGATGGTGCAAATAATGATGGCAAAAAAACAATGGCAACGACAATTATGACAACTATGGTGATAACGCTGATACTAACGCTCATGACCACAAAGACGAAAGCAGTGATAATAATGATGTCAGTTATAATGATAATGATGATGATCATGGCATTTCATCAATACCACTGTGCTCAACGACAAGGACGATGATGATTTTAGTGATAATATTAAGGAGCTGCCAAACTAAACATAAAATTTGCTGTAGGAAAGCTACACTGAGGAGAGAGCTACTATTAATAATATTCTTCAAAGATAGTGCATTTCAAGAATTAAAGTTAAAAATGAGCTTGTGTCAGTGATGAGCTAAGTTTATGTAGGCCTAAATAAGTTTTAAAGGATAATTATTGTATTATCTATGGGATTTGCTCCTTAGTATGAATTATTACACGTTGTTTAGTTAAGTAGTTGAGTTTGTAGGAGCTCTTTCTGTTGGTTAAATTATACCATTAGAAGATTGGTTTTGTATTCATTTATACCATAACTGTTGCTTTGCTGAATGCCTTGTTTTTTTAAGTGCACTTTTCAGTATTTTTTCTCTGTAGAGTAGTATCTATGTCAGCAGTGGAGATTTGTTGCTAGTACCAATCAGATCCCAACATTGAGGTTTGTTGTTGCACCAATCAGATCATTTTATCAGGGTATTTCATTCATATTATTTATTTTTCAGGATAAGGATACATAGCTCACACAAAATATTGCAGCAAGCATCCCAGGGCAGGGAGGGTAAGGCAGGGCAGCTATTTTAATGTTGCTACATGTTTTTTTCTACGACTGTTGCAACATTTCCATTTTGAATCATGAAATACAAAGTATATTTCCATTACACTTCATACTCAGGGAGGGGAGCTACAACTTGTGGCTTTCTTTCTAGCGATAGTTTGCATCTTTAAAAGATCTGTAATTTCACTGAATACCACCTTATGGTATAATTTCCATTCTTCTCTTTCACAGTTATTCTGATGTTGCAAGTTATCCTATTAGACAATACATAAAGTACTAAAACATACCTTTATAATTCTGTGAAACTTGCAGTTATTATAATATCCTCTCTGTGCCTGCAATGTAAATAACATGGCAGATGCGTCATCATAAATTGTCCACAACTCTTTTTCCATTTTATAGTTAATCAAGGAAGTGTGCAAAGTGAGCATGTGTGAAAGAGCATGTCAGAGAGGTAATTTGCAGACCCTATGGTTAACAGCAAATGACAGTGTGACAGAATAAATATCATCTTATCAGTATCCAGGACATGTGTGATATAAAGTTTGTTATGAGCCTTGCTCACCAAAGAGTCTCTATGGCTCAGTGGTAGAGCATCAGAGTGCGGAATCTAAAGGTCTGAGGTTCAATTCCTCATGGGGACTCAGAATTTTTTCTTTGACCCACACCTGTGAAAAGTCTAAAAAAATCCTCTATCTTATCATTAATTGGGGAAGAGCAGCAGGTATGGGGGTACTTGCCAAGAATTGGGCTTTCACTTCACTATATATATATATATATATATATATATATATATATATATATATATGTATATATATATATATATATATATATATATATATATGTATGTATGTATATATATATATATATATATATATTTTTTTCATATAGATACAAGTTCTTCCACTGTTAGTGCAAATTACCAATAGACAGGAGTTTTCTCATTCATAGCTACTGTGTCAGCAGAATTTTTACCATTTAGACAAGTACTTTCTTGTACATTTTCCAATACAGATATATTTTTTCTCTTAACATCAATTTTATTTTTTTAAGTGATGTAGGATAAAGTATTTTATTCAGTACAGTACATCATTTTAGTGAATTGTAGGTCTACTGCAGCCTTAAAGACTGGCAATTTTGAAACTTGCTTCTTAAATAGAATGATAATGATGATGATTGTGATAAAGATGGCTATTAAAGTTAGTGAACACTGTTTTAAACTACCAGTCCTGTGATTTACTTAATATTTATTGAACAATTATTAAAGGAAGAACTATTAAGAACATTTCCCTATTGCATTTGAGTAAAATGTGTGCTGCTGCTATGACAATATCACTGGATTGACATTTGGTTCCAATAAGGAAACCATAGAGACAGAACAATGTATTTTCATCACATAACATGAACAGCCCATTGTGTCTTGTTATTCAAAAACTGTAGATAAAATTCCTGAATGAGGGCCCCATGTAATGGTGTGAGCACTGGGTCACTAAAAAGCCATATGACCCCACAAGCTGTAAGGTGAAAGTGGAAAGGAAGATAAAGGAGAAGAAATGCTCAAAACATAACATGCTCATTGACTGAGTGAGGTCAGGCCTGACAGGAAAATATTTGGCCTTCAACTTGAGTGCAATGCAATGCTGAACCTTCAAAAGTAGTACTACACCTTCATCTTACAAATTCTCTTGCAATAGTTTAAAAGAGAAAAATAACAGATGTAACTGTCCTCTGTATCACTTTTAAAGGTTGTCACTAAAACCAATTAAATATAAAGCTTTGTTGTATGAAAAATAGCCAAATTGTGCCTTTGATTTGCAGGTGACTATTCATTTTCATTTACATTTTATTGGAATTGGCAATTGCTATGGATTGCTATAGCATTTTCTTTAGCACCAGTTAGCTTTGGCAAATAAAATTTTCAACTACCACAAAAAACACAGCTCAAGAATATGCCAACTACACAAATTAGAATCAATAAGCACATGATGAAAGGTATGTGTATGTTACAAGACTTGTATGGCAAGAGTAAATTATTCTCTTGTGAGCCTTTGTTGTTCAATGCCAAACCTGTGGTATTGTGTTGCACAACAAAAGAAATGGTAGTCTAAAAGCCACAGCCTGTGGGCACCAAACTCACAAACTATGATTACACCAAATATCTATTATTTACCAAGCCCACCTATAAGATTTTTCCACAAGAAAAATATTCCAGAGGCCATTGTGAAATATTTAGCACCCCCTGTAGGGTCATACCTAACACTGAAAAAGAAGTTTCTTTGGTTCTGCTGAAAACAGTTAGCTGATTAAAACTTATCAATGCTCTCTTAAAAGACAAGATTTTTTCTTGTAAGTCTTCTTAGTGCTCAGATTTTTCCTCAAACTTCACTAGTGAAAAATTGTTTTTGCATCTTGGAACAGATAATGTCCACAGACAAATATCCATATGTAATTTTTGCACCAAATAGAGGCTATTATTTATATACTAATTAGTTAAATCTAATAAATATGATCCCCACCATGTCTTATCCAATGGTCATTAGTATTTCTTTTGGGAGTATTTGCATGAGGGTACATGCTTGTGTATGTATCTTAGTGTGACAGTGAGTGTATAAGAATGTGTATGCCTTGCAGACCTAGATATTTTATTGTCATAATGTTATTATAAAAGAACTGAGGATATCTTACTCTAACAAGCCTTTATGCTTTTTCTTAGGATATCCTGCACCCTTATTTATTTAAAATTTACCTCTGTATTTAACTTAATGATGTTGCAAATAGTGGATTAAATTAAGATTGTCTTGTTATAGTTATTTTATAAAAGCAATAGACCATATTCTCTATAGGTTTACTGCTGTAATTAAAACCCATGCATGATGTCAGGAGAACAGAAGAAAAGTTTGTTGATCACTCAGCTTTGGCCTGTGATTTACAAACTTTTATCATGTTCTCCCAGCATCCCCCATGGGTTATAATGCTTGTAAACTGATGGGAAGTGCAGATGTGATTGTATATGTTATTTCTGAAATAACACATAATTTATAACTATATCATAAGCCAATATGCTCATGTCAATACTTACATGCATATAATCTTCTACAAGTCCTATACCCATTTCACTTTACAATGTATATCATACAGTATCTACCCACTTTACAGTACCAACTGTGCAGATGAATTTCATACGCTCAGGTGCAGGGCAGTCAAACACACATATACGATTATTTTGTGTGCACAATAAAAAAAAATGGGTGACTCATGTGCCTTTGTTATTCAGTGCTATAGGTTTCCTTTGTATTACATCATTGTGTGAAACAAAGAACTTTTAGGTTTGAAAAAGCAGCAAGTAAACAATGGAAAATTTACATAATGAAAAAAAGCTATCATGTTACACTCATGCATTTTGTGTCGCTTAGTGAATTTATTGAATAACGAGCAGTAGCAGCAGCAGTAGATTTGCTTTATTTGAGTTGTTGATGAATCAGCTGGAAAGGAAAATGTCACTTACTCAAGGCATTGAAACATGTGTCTCACTGAGCAAGTAACGAAACAAATACTCACTAATATGCTTCCCAATTTACTCATTGAAATCAATGTTCCATCAGATGTTTATGTTGCAGAATGTAAACAATTTGGAGTTTGTATTGCAGGTGATGGTTTCTTCAAAACGTCAAACCTACCTCAATCACCTTCAATGAGGATCAGAAGAAAAATATACTGTTTAAGATTGTGAATGATGTTCTGTTTTATTCATTGCAATCGGTGCCTGCTTCAGTGTTTATGCACCAGAATGTAAACAGTTTAATTTTGCGTGGCTCAGGATGATTTGTTTTGCCTAATTGTACACACTGGCAAGTCTTAAACAAACTTGAACTACATATCTCCTGCATTTAATTTTTCCAATCCCTTTTCAGAGCAATTTGGTAAAAATCGATTGATGATTTGAGAAATATCGAAATAAAAGGCAAATCCTGTTTCTCTTGCAAGATATAGTTGTGACAGGTAATCATACTGTAACATAACACTGTTAAATTAAGTGATTAGAACTTATCAGTTTTTGTATAAATGGCGAGATGAATGAACCAGTTTTCAAGAACAGCATGTTCAGCGATGACAAAAGCTATGAAATAGGCATTCACTCTTGGGTTTGCATTCAGAACGCAACCACTGGTTACAAACGGGGACCTTAGCTGATTCTAGTGAATTACAATCAGAACACTTTTTCAATTGCGTGGGAGCTGGAAAGCACAGATGTGACTTTCTTACATATCAAAGAGCATTAATTTCGCGTTAGTTAACTTGTACTTTACATTAATTTATATTATAAGAGGCACGGGAACTCACCAGTTCGGCAAAATTTTTACATGTTCTTGGTGATTGCTTCCAATAAAGTTCACACTCAATCTCACCCTGAAACAAGAAATCATAAGAGATATAAAAAAAAATGAGGGTTCCACAGAGTTTTTGCATGAATACTGTGAGATTATAGCTTTCGATCCAGAAAAGAGAACTCTTCTTAGTCTGTCACTGACTCGGTGATAAAGACCACGTTCTTTCATTCGGAATTGACGAATTTGACACAATTCCGTTCTTTTAGGCAGTGTTACACATAGTTCATAAGAAGACAACACTCTAAAAGAAGCTGAAAAAGTAGTAAATTCTACATAAATTTTGGGTCTCCCACTCGGGCAAAGGAACTTACCATGGAAGTTTCCAAACAAATGTGAGACGGATTTGCCGCCATTTTGGAAAGACTAAGAGATTGAAAGGAATTTTGGGTAAATAAAAAATATGGACGTATTTAGCATTCACTCCCAGGTTCCCTTCACCAGCGGACCTTGGCATTGGCCAATCAGAATCAACTTATCTCCAACCTCGAGATTCCCTAACAACGACACGCGAGACAAGTTATGTTTGGTCCAATATTCAGCAGGAAGATGACCTTTTAACTTCAAAAATTTATCTATTTCGTGTTGAATTTTCCACAGCATGCAGAGTACTCATAAATGATAAGGAATCTGTTGATATTTGAGCCTTGAAACGAAGGAGAGTGGACCTAAAATTCCTGCATTTTGGCGAATGAGGACAATGCCAATAGCACAGGACCGTTTAGAACAACTTCAAGTTCTAAAGTTACTTCAGTCTGTCCGACTCGAGGATGTGGACCAGATTGAAAAACTAACAACTCACGGGGTTCCCTATCTGATCAACTACTCTGGTAAGTGCAGAGAGATTTCGTTGTCTGTAATACTTAGTGGCTGTTTCGGAAATTCGACTCGTACTTGTCAGTCGCCATAGCAAATTATGCAACATAACAATTTGATGATGATAAGAAGGCGCGAAATTTAATAAACAACACCATAAAGTTTTATCGGAAATTGTTTAGTAACTTCAAGTCAGAATTAAATTTCAAATGTGTTTAAGAGTAGACGCATTCAAACTTGAGGTCTGCCTGGGTAGCAATTCCGATAAGGGCGAATTTTAAATTCATGTGTATGTTCTTAAAATACTTTGAAACATACACATACATATGAATTTACGTCGCTAACTTTGCAGTGTACAATGCGATGTTCATGAGGTTGAATGTATAAAGTTATCACTACTGATAGACAATAAATTGGATAAGATTAAATACGCCCCTCTCATGTAATCTATATTGTAAGAGGCTTGCAATATTTTGTAACCCGGGGTCAGGCTGTTGTTTAGTGTTTAGGGGCTCTTTTTGGCAAACATGTATATTTGAGGCATAAGGTTATGGTTCACTGACTTTTACATGCCATAATGGTAGGTTCATCATCAATGTGCCACTGTGATAGGGAGAGCCATATCATTCAGAGTCAGTTTTTTTTTCACCTGTCAGAAAATAAGAAAACTGATAGCACTCTTTAATAATTATGGAAATTAAATCAGTGCAGAGTCTACATGTATATCATGTGAAAATTATATCATTTATATAAAGTTTTAGTTATTTCAGTGAATTTTGACATCAACCAAACTTACTATCTTGAATTAGCTCTTATTCTCTCACAGCATGATTTAGTCAGGTGTTATAAGGTGGTGAATATCAAAGAATTCTGCAGATTTTACAGGAAAAATAGCTCTAGAGGAAGGGGTATACTCGTAAAGTACACAGTTTTGTTGTGTTACACTATACTCTTTCTGCTGCCCAATTCTCTATGAAATCTGTGCATCTATCCATCAGTTTAACCCTTTAACTTCCAGATCAAGTTTGTAATTCTCCTTACTGTCAACCATACAATTCTTATAATGTTAGTTCAGAGAATTTAATATTGAATCAATTAATTATCCTCAAATTATTCTCATCACTTGTCTGGTTGATATTGTATTGATATTATAAGGGGAAATTCTGTCTTGGTCACTCATGAGTGCTAAAGGGTTAAATGAATGACATAACCAGTGATGATATAAATAAAGTGGGTTAACGTTTGTGGTGCTGCATTGCTGGTAAAGTATAACAGGGTAATTTAGTATTATCAACTGAGTTAATAACTTAAATTGGCCTCAGTAAATAATTTAAAAGGTGACATTTTGAGCTCTGACAAAGGGCTAATGCCCAAAACATCAGCTTTTAAACTCTTTATTGTGGTCAATTAATTTTATGTTATCAACTCAGTTGATAATAATGTTACCCTGTTATGGAATTATCTGACTTGGAACAATCTTACAATAGACCAGAGTGACCAGCTACCTAATGGCTGGATGTTCAATCCAGCTCACTTCCACTAAAATAATTTAGTTTTATTTACAGAGGTGATAAATATTAATTATTTAATTGGCCAATGTAGAGAGATTCTTAGGCAGAAGTTTTATAGAATTTAAGTCCTTTGTCTAAGTGAATCTGATACCTCCTCAAAACTACACTTAAGTCAAGAAGCTTGCAATTCATTATTGGCTTGGAAATTTTTTTTTGTTGAACCTTGTTTGTTTGTTCAAATTGTAGAACCTGAAAATGGAGAGACAGGGCTTCACCTGGCAGCATGTAAAAACAACGAGAAGATGATTTCATTTCTTCTTAGTCTGGGTGCAAGCCCCAACATGGTGGACTTAAAGGGACGTACTCCTGCCATGAGGGCAGCAGAGTTTGGCCACACACAGGCCTTGACTCTCTTAACAGAGGCAGATACAGATTTGACACGTAAGGAAAATTTATGATTTTTTATTTACCTAACAGAATTAGCATAATGCCAGTTGACTTTTTTTGTGATAAGGGTTACACCGCACTCTTTCCAATGTACCAGTACTTAGATTCAATCCCAGTGTGGGTTTTAAGTGTTGTGTTCTAGGCTCTTCCATTTGTTTTCATAGCACTTGGAATGGAAACAGGTTGTAAATTGTCACAGAAACCAGCTAAAATATAAAATATGACAGGTTAAAATAAATTTTCAAACCAGTAAAGCAATCCTTTTACAAGTTTAATTTTCAAGAATTCCAAGCAATTTAAAACCGTAATAAGAGGTACTACAGGTGGTAAATATTATCTGTTACTGCCTGAAAAGGAGAGCACTGCTGTGCTAAGAGGAAGGACCACTTACAAATTTGTTCAGTATCCTATTTTTGAAAAGCAGCAACAGTCATGATGGCAAAACCAGGATTAATCATAAAGTCTTGGCTGCACCTCATGTGCCACTTTTTTGTTTTTGCCACATATTGATGTCATTTGTGATCTATTACTGAACAGACAAATGGCAACATGGAATTTATTTGTTAATTTTTGCCCCAGAGTGCAGTGGTACCTACATGCTTGTACACTTTCAAAGTCTTTTTTTTTTCTTTTAGTGAGGGATATTGAAGGTAAAGGAATCTTGTTTTATTGTATCCAGCCAACCAAACGTCATCTAGAGTGTCTCCAGATTGCACTGAAACATGGTGCAAGTGTTAATTATGTGGTAAGCAATTATGCTACTTGTATAAAGGAAGTGGCGTGCTTGTGGGTTCTGCAAAGCGCATGCTGAACTTACAGTACATACAGTGCAGGCTGATGTCCCAATTGTTGAATTATGATAGTAATAAATATTTTTTGTCCCTTATATAATTACCTCTGATGTGGATTGCAATACTGACAATACTGTGACACCATACCTCTGCTACTTGTCTTCTTTAGGCAATAAGGTTGGATGCATATTGCATGAAGCATTATGCTTAGTTGTGATGAGTTATTATTCAGTTCTGCTTGGTGCATTTCAGTAATGCAAAGTGACATCATCACACTTCAGAGCTATTGTTTTTCACTACCCTGAATAACCACAATTTTTTCCAGATCAAAATACAAATTTTAGTGACAAGTACTAGTCTAGTGTCAAACTTTTCCTTGTCCCCAAGGATTTCCTTCTCCCTTCCTAACAAACAGCAATCAGTTTGCTATCTTTGGAAAGAAACCATGTATGTGACAGGCAGCCAATATGAAAATAACATAAGCAAGAATAACAGACTGAAAAGATGAATACTTAACTGACCACAAAATCTCTGGTGTACACTTAAATCTGTGATGCTGCATGAAGCATTATGCTTAGTATTAAGCTCCGCTTGGTGCATTTCAGTGATGTGAAGTCACTGTAATAGCATCACACTTCAGAATTATTGTATTTCACAACTCTGAATAACAATGATTCTTTTAAATAAATTATCAAGCCTGTCTCCATACCTGCGACTTTTCAGACTGAAGGGTTGATTAGTTTTATTATCTAAGACCTATGCCTTATGTTTTTGCTTGCTAGAGTAAGGATGGTCAACCTTTATTGTATGTGGCTGCAGAAGCTGGTCTGGACAACATTGTGCAAGCACTTCTTGTTGCTGGTGCAGACCCAAATGGAGCTCACACAGTATGTTACTGACTTCAAGTTTTGCATTTTGCAAGTATTAATGTTTATTGAACTGATTTAATAATTTAATTTCAACAAGATATGTATGTACATGTATGTTCCTGTACAAATTCAAATCAAGGTACCTCTTAGTTTTGGAGGGTACTTATATCCTTATGTATTTTGAATATAGGTACACCACTGTGTTCTATGAACTTATACATGACACCTGACTGTAGATTCAATTTGTGAAACAACAAAACATTAAAATTGGTACTTAAGTTGTTGAGAGGTAAAGTCAATATCTGTAAACATGCAGCTTTTTTGGAAAACATGCATTTACCGTTTGCATTGTCCTTTGGATTAGAATACTGGCCAGACAGCTCTACATGCAGCAAGTGCCACTGGAAGTGTGGCGTGTGTGAGAGAAATATTGGAGGCTGGAGCAGACTGTGATGCTTTGGATAGTGAAAACAATCACTCAGCACACAGGTTAGGCTGAAGCACTCAGTGCACTGTACAATGGTCACACACTGAGTGAAATGGAAACATTTCAAACACCACATTAAATTTTCAACAGATATTGAAACCCAATTCTGTAACACACACCTGAATTTAAAGTTCCTGGCTACTTTGGGGTTGTATGGAACTGATTGGTATATTTCTCATGAATCCAGAGTCAGCAAATAATTTGTAGGTCCTTCAAATAAAGAAAGTACATATTAAATAAGAGTGAGATCACATTTTTGAAGCTGTTTACATAGAATAGTTATCTCAAGAAGTAAATTACATGTATGAAAAAACCCCGGGGTATATTTCACTTTTTTTGTGAAAAGAAGACTTCCAAAATCAAAATATAACAGCTCACTTGTAAAATGTTGAGATAAGAGAATGCTTCTCACACCTTGCCTCATAAGAATATATTTCAGCAGATTGAAAAAATGGGAATATTAGCTTCTTGCATGCAATTTATTAAAGGATCCTTATTTCCATTACTTTCTATGCAGGGCTGCCTTAAATGGTCACTTTGAAGTCATAAGAGTGCTGGCAGCTTATGGTGCAGACTTGGGCAAAGTAGCATCAGATGGCAACACTCCTATTCATTATGCAGCTCGACAAGGATTTGGACCAATATGCAAGTTCTTGTCTCAAAGAGGTGAGCAAGAGCAGGGTATGGTTTTGGTACAAGTGATGAACATAGTGACATGACACTCAAGTAAAATCTATGGGAAGAGTAAATGAGCTTTGTTAATTACACTTGAAAGGGCGCCTAATTAGTCTTCACTATGCCGTGTCCTTCAGTCTCTATTTGTAATATTTTCTGTATTATTCTAAGCAATTACCAGGCTACATTCACTATATGTACAGAAGTTCAAGATCCTTACATTTATTTTAAATGTCACATTACAGACATCAAAAAGGCATGAAACATAGAAACATAGAAATTCTCTGATTGACATGCATCTTACACAGGTTGTCCATCAATGTTAAAGAACAAGGAAGGGAAGACACCAAGATTGCTGGCAAAGGATAATGAGCACAAAGATGCTTTGAAGGAATGTCGTAAAGCTGAAAAACAGTCAGCAAAGCTCTCTAAGGGAGGAAGTAGAACTTCTGAACCATATGCCATCAGAGTATGTTTATAGTCACTAATACTTTTGCTTGTCTACCTTAGAAAAATGGGACAAATGAGCATGAAATGCTGTCAAACTTTTAACTTTTGCCTACTAATTTTTTAAAATGTCCTTAGTTTTTGTCCAACCCCAGCAATTAGTGATGTTTGAAACAAAAGTGATGTTGTAGTTTTCTTGTTGTTCAAAAAGATTGAAACAGAACAAGTGTGATGCTTTTCTTGAAACTTATCCCAAAATGGTAAATGTTTTCCTTCAAATTTCATTTTGCCCAGTGCATTTAAAGTGAGCTTAATGTAAACATGCAGTTGCCAAAAACCAGCCTTGGTTAATGTTATACATGCATTCTTTCAAGTAGACTGGAAATCTTGGCTAGGTTTTTTTGTAAGCTTAATTTTTTCACTACTGAAATTTTGTGAAAGTGTGATGAGATGTTTAGGAAGAAAGGATGTATAGGATGTAAAAGAGAAAATAACAATAATTATAAGTTTTTCACAACAGTATACCATTCTAATTAGTTATTGGCTGAAATTCAATACTCAGATCAATTTTCTGCACTTGTCTTCAACAGCTTTATGACTGGATCCAAGAACATGAAGAAAAAGTCTTGAACATTTGTTATCAGTTTGATCCAGAGGAAGAGGATGGAAGTAGAAAAGGAAAAATTACCAAGGATAACTTTGTAATGTGTCTGCAGACAATAAGTAAGTTTTGGAATGTGCTTTAACATGTACAATGTATCCTTAATCTTAGAAATTGTAAGAATTTTACATGTAGGAATCCTTGCAATATTGGTCCAATGTTGTACATTGAGATGAATTTGAAGTCTATATATTAAACCATAAAAGAGAAGAAAATGATCTCAGTATTTTGCTACAAGAACAAGTATCATGTTGCATAGAAATTTCCCAGATTTTCATAATAATTTCAGTACTGTAACAGATATTTTAAATTGATACGTGTGAATAAAAATTGTACTCTCTCTTTGGTCCACAGATTGCCCAGTAGATGTAGAAGATTTGAATAAATTAGCACAGACGCATGACCCAAACAAAGAAGATGCTGTAGATTATCCACTGTTTATCACTTGTAAAAAATTTATTAGTAAGGTATGGAACAACCTACCTTGTCATATCATTTTCCAGTTTTACAGAGTTACTGTTCCTTTCCCTTTTGAGTTTTGCAATGTTTATTTCTTTACTAACACTTTTGCTGGTACATGACTGACACTTAAAACAAAAAATTGCATTGCATATTGATTTCCACCAGAAGGGAATTTTTCATCAGAAATGTCCTATATCTCCTTAAGTCTATCATTAGAGATGGTTTGGCTTTGTTAAAAATACGTTTGGACTGATGTGGCTGATGCAAGTCAGGCTCCGTATGAGTCCTGTAAAACGTAGAAAGTCCTGGAATTTTATTTTGACATTTTCCAGGACTGGCAAGTCCTGGAAAAGACTATAGTTCCTGGAAAGTCCTGGAAATCTGCTTAACTCAAGCAGTAAAGTTTTCAGAATTTACGTTATTAGAAATGTATGTAGATCCTAAGGAGAATTGATTTTGAAATCACAGGAATGAAAGGTTAAAGGTGAAATTTGGAGTCTGAAAAGAAAATTAATCTGAGTCCTGCAAAAGTCCTTGAATGTTTTTCTGAAAAAGGGTATGAATCCCGGTAAATGTGTTGTAGGCTCTTAGGGAAGGAGGGGTGAAGGTTGCCTGCACCTTTGCTTAACAGAGCAATAGCTTGCTACAGACTTGGCTGATGTTTTCACAGCTTGCCATCATAAACAAACAGGTCTCGCCAGGGGTTTTGGGTATCCTGGTATCTGGGGTCAGTTAGTCAAGTTTTATATCTCAAGACAATTTTTTATCAAGTTGTGTTATTTTTGAGAGACACAAGTCACATGTTTTGGCAGTTTTAGGTATATAATATCAAAGTTTTTTATTTTAAGGGAGCTTGGTTTCTCATGGGAAAAAAATAGGTGTATCCTTTCTCTGGTATCCAACTACTTCCCCCCTTCCCCTTTTTAGCTTGGCGTAATGAGAACTATTTTCAGTAAGCTTCCAATACATGCTTGAAGGTTACATGGCGGTGAAGATAACAGTATTAGGCCAGCAAAGTAACATGTTATGAACATACTGTTCATCTGAGATAAAGTTAATGAAACACAAAACTAACTGACCTCTTTCTCTTCTTTTGCAGCAATTCATGGTTGTCCTCGGAAAGGTAATGTCATCATTTATTGAAATCATTTTTTTTTCTCACTGGGATTTTATTTTTATAGCGGATATGGACTTAGTACTCCACAGCAAACTCATGCATCCAACCTTCCTTAGACTGAAAATAATGAAAAGAAGATTTTTTGTTGTTGAATGCTACATGTCAGTATTTATTGTGACTTCATTCACTTTACAGAAAAAAAAGAAAAAAGGTGGAAAGAAAGGAAAGAAGAAGAAGGTAATTTTAAAGTAAAAGTATAAAAGTATTACAATGCATAATACTTGTAATTCTAATCATACTTAGGAACAGTTCAATCCGATGGTTGTCGTAGACATCCGTCATACTTCATGACGATACCCAGGTCATCTCTCTTTCAACATCATATATGAAATTTGTTGAGTTATTCGGAGGTCGAGTAACGTTAAGGATTGATATCACGCGCGTTTTCAGAAGTTGCAGAAATTTTCCAAGTCGCGCAGCGACGAAGGAAATTTACGCAACTTGTGGAAAAAAGTGATATTAATCCGTAATTTTACGAGGAAACATGCGATTACTTGTTTCTGATGTAAAGGGTAAAATTTTCTTCTTTTAAGAAAGTCACTATTAATAAGGTTCAAAACGCACGCTTATTCGCAATTTCTGAGGAAGCCATTTCAGTGTTGTGTTAGTGTCAATGAACTGTAAAACTCACGCCGGAATCAGTACTAAAGCAATGAACCAGCCCTGCTGAAGAACGTTCGTCTTCACTGAAATTCGGCAAAGTTAAGAGTTTTTTAATGTTTTCCATTTCAGATATTTTTTTCCCAGGGCAATTACCCAGATTAAGGGAAAATACCCTCTGTCTCAGCCAATAAGCATTCAGTAATTTTGTTCTCCATGTTGTAAACCTTATTATCGCCATTTTAACAGGCAGAAACATGTCTTTAAAAAGTTTCTTCGAGAATCTGGATTTTATTTTAATCATAAAGTTATCACGAACCTACGGAAGTATTATACATCTGGTAGAGGCTTTTACATTTCCTGGCTAACCCAAAACTAATTTACCGTCTGTTCTCAGGGAAAAACAAAAATACCCATCCCGATTTGTACAGCACCTGATGGCCCCCGGACAAAACATGGTGGCCCACCCTCTGACTATGTAGAGAGATATGTGGTAAGTATTTGTAACAAAAATTTACTTTAAAGCTTTCATATACCCAATTTTCCCTATTGAAGGCGCGGCGTTTATTATATTTTTAACGTTTTTGATACGGCGTTTATTCAGAGGCGTCTTCATCTTTCTTAAATCACAAATTAAAAAAAGTACCGTAAATAATTTGTCAAACAGAAGAAACATGTTCGAACTTCTGATGTGTCACTTTTTGCTTAGATAGAATCGAACTTTTTTGGCCTGTGATAATAGTATGTACACCAAGTATGGTATACATAACCATTGGATTTTTTTTAACATCTTCTCAAACGCTTCTGCGTCAAATTTTTAATTTTTCAGCACTTCACAGACAACACAAGATTTGATCGGGATAATCCGCCATCGCATCCTATTCAAGATGATTCTGCCTGGTACCTTAACTTCCCAGGTTAGTACAGACTAGGTATGACGATTGAAAAGCGGAGTATTGTCTTTTTTTTTTCGGGAGACAATCGCAGTGAGTGCGTTTTTTTTTGTTTTGTTTTTTTTTATAATGACAGAGTGCCTTGACAAGCAACCAACAGACGTAAAAACTTTTGTTCATGTATGTTCTCTTTGTTCCTGATCAAACCATAAACCTGCGAAAACTCTTTTCGGATACCCTGAGTGAGAGGGGAAACGAACGAAAGAACTAACATTGGAAACGCCTCGAGATTCTCTCATTATTGAAAGATGTCACGGTTCTGGCAATTTTTTTCAAGCGTTTATCGGGAAAAAAGTCAATACTATAATTCACAATTACGGGCAGGAAATTTGATTCACCGTCCAACGAGAACATCATTCAGTCACAAACTCTTTCAAAATCCTCATTTAATAAGAGGGGTCTTGATCAGTAACATAAAAAATGCAATATTTTGTTAATTACGACTTAAGATATAGCAGTAATCAAGTTTAGAATGTTTCTGTTTTCATGGAAAATCGCTGAACCACCTCACTTTACTTTGAGTTCTTCATCGTGTTGATGTCTTTTTGTGGTATTTTTCTCGGATTGGCAGTTTTGATTACAATGGCTGTGAGTTTGCGACAATCAATCGAAATGCGTTTTTGGTGCGTTTCCTTAAGTAGTATATGTTTCCTTTTCTGTTCCCCTACATGTTTTAGATGTTACTTACATGAACATTAGCGATGCTGCTAAAGTAGGAGACTTAGAGACGTTAAAATCAGCTTTTGCCCGAGGAGTCTCAGTAGACCAACGCGACAAATACTACAAGACTCCACTGATGGCAGCTTGTGCACATGGAAACATCGAAGTAGCGGCATACTTATTACAGATTGGGTGAGTTAACTGAAGTGGTGTACACTGTAATTTGGTTTTAAGTGTGTATCAATATGCGTAGATCTGACCGACTGAACAAGTCTAGTCCTAGAGAAAACTCGGTATTAAGAAGAATCTTTGAGCCAAATTAGTCAATTTGGAAATTTCATATACCATTTTGATGAAAGTTATTTTTCTCAGATCACAAGCGACAGACTCACAAGCAGCATCTGTACTCTGCTTCCCATTAAGTCGGATCGCGTCGCTCTGCGCCTCTGATATCGTCTTCGCCTTCGACTCCAAAGATAGCGAAAACCAGCCGTACTAGAACGATCTCTAACAACGCAGTATTTTGCTGTTATATATTATCAATTTACAGTGCACTTATCCAAACCCTTTGTTTTGTTTTCCAGGGCAGACATCAATGCACGAGATAATTTCAAATGGACTCCTTTGCACCATGCCTGCCACTCAGGGCAAGTTGACCTGGTGCAGTTTCTGCTAGAAAACGGAGCAGAAATGGACGCGCAGACCATCAATGGCGGGACACCTTTAATGAGGGCTATTGAGAGTTCCAGAGAGGCTGTCGTGGAACTGCTAATTTCTAAAGGGTTTGTATAGTGGCTTTGCTTTTGAAATTTTGTGAAAAGGTTGTTAGCTTGGTCACACAGTCCCACAGTGGTTGAAGCCGCTTGAAACACGGGGAAAAAAGATTTCGAATGTTTTATTTGTCGAGTGCTTCATTTGCTAGATTATCGCCAACACCAAAACTTTTGGGTTCCTCACGCCCACATTCAAGTAAAACTTGCCAGCAATTAAGATTTTTTTACAAAAACCAATGAATTTCTGAAGACCCAGTGACCTTTATGATCAATTCAAATCGTTGGCTCGATTCCGAGCCGCTGTTCAAGCAATAAGCTGGCGCTCAGCCTCTTCTTCCTTTTCGGGAGTAGCGAGGACTGGACACGAGAAAACGGAAGAAATCTCAGTGACGCTGAAAAATGTTGGGTTATGATTCCTTATCCTACAAGGATTCAGTTCTCTTTTCGTTTGTTCTTCAGAGCAAAAGTTCAGCTGGAAAATAAGAAGGGACATACAGCGCTGGATGTCGCCAAAGCTTACGCAGATCCTCGTGTTGTAGCTATAGTACAGAAACGATGGGACGAAATTCCGCCACCCGTGGATAAGAAGAAACGTATGTATTGTATCAGTAAAGCTGTACGTTAACCCTCTAGCTCCTAGAAGTAGTTAACATGTAACTCCTCCTTAAAGTATCCACACATTATTTAGCAAATAGGCAATGAGAATATTCAAACTTATTAGGTAGGAGTTGTCATCTTGATCTGACCCCAGATTCCTATAACTGACATACAAAGAAGTGTGTAAAGGCTAAAGGGGAGATTTGACAATCAGATCTTGGGAGTTAAACAGTCAAAAGAGTATCGATAGCCTAAAACTAGCGATTTGGATAGTTGCGTTCAAGTTTTGTTTCCTAAGTTCCAGTGGTTTGTTCAGTTAGTTAAAGTACTTGTAATTGCTTTCAACGAGAGGTTGGCTTAAACGTCAGTCTTAAATTCACTAATTTGATTTCGGGGGTACTTTGCCGAATTTTAACTGAGCTGTGGCCAGGATTGATCGCTGATGAGTTTCATTTTCTATGTAATTAACATCTTAAAGTGTCCTCGTCTATAGGATTTTACTGAAACCCTCGTAATTATGTCAGATATGAATGAATTGAAAACCTAGTAGGTACATTCATTGCATTTAAACCTGGTCATAAGTGCGACTAATCCTCACGAATGTAATAAACAGTACAACAACAACAACAACAACAATAGAAACAGCAACAACAACAACAGCAGCAGCACAGTGTGCGCAACTTTTGAGGTTTGCTAAGAGTTACACTAACAAGGTCTTGTCTATATCTTTCCTGGTGGGCACGTGAACTAATACAACAACTCGTTTTAACCTGTCTTTGGATTTCATGCAATTCCTTCTTGCTAGTCCGTTTCCACTAAGCCTTTTTGTTAATTTAACCTAACAGAAATTCATTATTCTTTTTCTGATTTTCTTTGCACCACTTAACTCTTTCTTGCGTCCATGATGAAAAATATTTAACGTTTCAATTTGTATCTTTTGTATCTTTCAAGGCTTTCCTATCTTCTCTCTGTGTGACCTTAAACTCTCTCGAGGGACTTTTTCTACGGGTGGCTCGGATGAGGATTTCAGCCGTGCACCGAGTCCCGCCTCTTCTATCTCTATGTACCTTTGTCATCGAGGTCTTTCTTTAAGTTCTAAGAGGGCCTTTTGGGACGAGTATCTTCATGGAAGAGACAGTGTTGATAGCGGTGTATATGCAACATTACAGGATAAATGCATGTGCTCCGTGTTATGTTAATTGATCAATGCCTTTCGGTATTTCCTAATTTTTGCCTGAATGCATCTTCTTATGTTGCGCGACATTGTTTTTCAAACATGATGAGTATGTGAACATGAAAGCGCTGTGAGCACAGCACTGCATTTTCATGAACTATTATTCAATGTTGTCATATGTGTGCTGTTTCATCCGCTTTGTTTTGTCGTCACAAAAGTTCGCTGCTTCGCTGTCCTTTCCTTCATCTCTCTCAAACTCTTGAATGCAAGACAAAATACAATTTTGTTTCGCCATTTGGGTATCACACCTCTCTCAAAGTTCTTTAAAAAATCACAAACTTTCAATCCTTGAAACGATCTCCAACAAGGCGGCTTCCAAATCGCTCACGAAGACGACTAGCCAATGTGGATGAAGCGCACTGAGCCTACCTAGACGTACCTGTGACGCATGTCCATGTCTCTCTTCATCAGGAAAATTTGCACCCCGACCCAAGTCTAACGCGCAATCTAGTGACGCAGAGGGGCTTGGTAACGACGGAAACGATGGCAACGAAGGACCTGGGGACGACGATGACGATGGTGGTGATGATGGGTAGGAGTGGGAACAAAATGCCATTCAGGCACTTTGCGCAAACTCATACCAAATGAAGTCTAATTCGTTGGAAGATTAATTCAAGGGAACTGCGTGTCGTGAATCTTTAAATAGTAGTTTATTTCAGACGACAATATCAATGTGTGGGGTTGGAGAAACTTTCTGTAGGAAAATATGCAAGGAATATCCTTTGATTGGTAGAAAGTCATGTCAAACATCGATTACCGTATATGCACGGTTAGTGTAATTGCGATGGAATAAATGTGGATACGACTTGTATTTTAACAAAGTAGCATGATATTTTTCCAAATTCAAGTAATATATTGTGATATGTGAATAACTATGCACAACTGAATAAAATTTCACTTAATTTTGGTTACGTCTTGCCTCTCTGCGTTTTTTATGTTATGTGATCAAGTTATTTGCCTTATCGTTTTAGTTTCTAAGCTTAGTTTTTCGAATTGAAGTTTAGTCTAAAGGGAGGATATGTTGATAATTAACGTAACTGGCGAACGAAGGTACATTTGCATAATCTGTTGGTGTAGCTGATAGGTTATTGAATCGCGGTGTCATTCTTTGGATGGTGTATTCTAGAATAAAGCTCATGCGGGTTATAGTACTATTCTCTATTTTTATCTACCTAATTACACCTAATCATGTTCTCCATCTGTTCTGGCATCCCAGTGATTACACCTCCTTGTGTCCTCGACACTCGTTGGAACGTTGGAATGCTATAGTCCAGCTAAAAGGCGAGCTCTGTATGCAGAGAAATTTCTGTCACATCCGGTGCCTAATCTACGGACGACACGTTAGAAGATTTACGTAAACTATTATTCAAGCAAGGAAGGATTACTTTAGGGAACTTATCTCATGCAATAACAAGCTGAGAAACATTTATCTTAAGCTTTTGCTGAGGGTAGTTATCAAAGAGAACTTGATTTCATCGGCATCAAAAGTGACCTTTAATGTGGTAGGAACGAAAGATAAAAGTGGTACCGTCACGAGACGCAGCCAAGTTTGTTACTGATATTTCCAAATTTTGACGTCTCCTGTGATCTATTACTAAATAAATGCACATAGGGGCTCCTGACGCACGGCAACATGGAATCTGTTTGTTTTAATATTTAAAACAAAGAAAAAAATGTTGTTAACAGTGACTTCATCTATGTGTCTGTCGTTAGGAAGATCAGAGGTGAAAACCAATTAAAAATGCATATGTAACTCAGCTTATTATATAATTTGTAATACAGGTGGAGGAAGCCCGCGCAAGAAAGGCGCCAAGTCAGCGGCCCCTTCAAAGACACACATGCCCAGTGTGAAGAACACCCCGGACAAAAAACAAGAAGAGGTAAGACGAGCTTGCCTTCAATGGGAATTACAGCAAGAGAGACATCTTGGTATCTTTCAGAGAGTAACCTCTCCTTTTTTCTTTTTACTCTCTGCAGCCTCCATCTACAGCACCAGCGACTGGCGCGTCTTTAGTACGGAAATCGTCAGTGTTGCGAGCAGCCTCAGCTCTAGGAATCATCAACGAGAAACCTCAGCCAATCGTGTACACTCCTCGGAGAGCATGGATAACGCAGCCAACCACCGTAAGTAAAACATGGGGATTTTTGGTCATAGTTTTGTGCAAATCAACCGAAAACTGAGAGGACGAAAAAAGACGAACGTACAGAAAAATAACTTCAATAGAGGTGTTCCCATACTGAATAAACAACCCGACCAGCAAAGATGATTTTGTTGTATATATAAGTCTTTTCTGTTTAGCTACGGTGTTGATATAGGTGGCTTTCAGGTCGTAAAACTCTGCTTTTGAAGAGGGCCATCTATTAATACCGCCCCTTTTCGTTTTTCATTTTTCAGTTAGTCGTTAATTTATTTACTCGTTTGAATGGAGTTTCTCTTTTGCCAGCTTTCCCAAGAATGTTTCACTGGTTCTACTTAAAGAATGTTTCGTTTGATTGGCTTTATAGGATGATCTTCTACGTGGAAGAGAAGTTCGTCGGATGCGTTTTACCACAGATGTCGACTTCGCAGATTACAAGCCTGCATTCCAGAAACACATCACCTTGAAGGCCGAGGCAATGGAGGCGGAAGATGACTAATAAACCCATATGATTTTTCGCTCTTCTTTTAGGTCAGCTCGTTAGAAGTGCTTTGCTCGCAAGTTATCAAACGTAAGGGCACTGAGAACCCTGTGGTTCTTAACCCTTGACAACACAGCGGTGAAACGTCTGCGTATGTGCCAAAGTTGTGATGACTAGGTGGCGTACTTTAAGGGCTGTCGGGACTAAGTTTTCCAGCACGAGTTACAAACAACCACTCAGGCCGGTAACTCACCGTGTTTTGGAAGCGTATCACTTTTTTGGTAAAGCCCAAAACAGAATCAGTGGTAAATCAACAGGATGGTTGTAATTGAATAAGCTTTGTGTTCGAAAAATCTCGAATTTTCCTTTTTTTTCCTGCTTTTGTTTCCTTTGATCCCTTCGCACATGCCCTTTCCGCATGCCTTAAGTTTGACCACTGTGTTCTCCTTGACGGTCATCAATAAAGAGTCTACGCGAGTTGTGGTGCGTGACGAACTGCCTGTACCACAAAATTACCAAAATTCTAATTTTTGGCTCAGTTTTGAATGAAAGAAAAAGAAAATTCCTTTGATAAACTTTGTCAGTTGCTGGACAACGTTTAATTTTTAGACAATGCACGAGAAAGTAAATTCAATGGCTGAAAGATTTTCTTGAAATTATTTTTGTTTCCTGAAAGAAGCAAAACTGGTCAGCTTTCCATTTCATTGGTAAGGTTAATTTTATAGCCTCATCTCACTGGCCACAGTTTGTTTAAAACTCGAAACTTTTGGAGTTGTGTAACTTAGAAAATGAGCCGAATCGGTGAGGCCGTTTACAATCTGTCAATAGGATAAAATTTAAGGTTCCACTGAATGTTCATAGAAAATCACGTTAAATATGATTGATTATATGTTTTTTATTTAAATTTTTATAAAATTTATACGTAGGCATCGTTATTTACTTCGGAAATTTTCATGAAAGCAAATTCAATTGTCAGTTTTTCATCGAAGTACCTAGATATGAAAGGATTATAGATATTTAACAAAGTTAAATACTTTTTATATTGAAAAGTAATGTAATTTAATGACTTAGAGTTTAGTTTCCGACAACGTTTTAAGCCGAGGGTTTCCGACTTGAGAGAGGATTGTCATGCCTTGTTTTGCTTCAGTTAGAAAAAGAAGAAGCTTATAAAGGGGAAGGGGGTGAGATTCTCAGGAACCCCCCCCCCCCCAGCTACGCTCTTGTCTTAAGAGCTGATGGCAGATAGTTCGGAGAATGTTATTCAGATCTTGTGATTGAAAGGGTCAGCAAAACTTGCATCATATACACTCTTTCAAACTATTCAAAGGTATCATGATTTGATTACTATTCTCGTTTTTTAATCGTTTATACCATTTTATTTTTTTATTTGTTGTACTATTTGTTATCATATTTTTAAAAAACATGAAATGTTCACGTATAATTGTTGTTGTGTTCACTCCCCCTAACTTTCGAAAGCATTTCGATGCTCCTTGCACTAAAGTATTTTCAATATCTTTAAATAAGCCACAGTTTTCGCCATGTAACGCTTCTTGAGAGCGACAAGATATTAGGGGGGGAGGGGCGGTAAGTCATAAGCCACCTGCATTCTTATGGTGCAGTACATGCGTTGCCGTTTACTAAGCTGCAGAACAGCAATGTAATCTTTTTGCGCTTCACTGTCGAGTGAACGCAAGTACGAGGCGAGCGCTCCTTCTCTCGCGTGTGATCCACTCTGCGCGCTCGCCTGAAAAGCGACAAACAAGTGACACCTGTTTGGCAGGCAAACTTCAATTCTAAGACGCCCTTGAACCGAAAAACAAAATTCTTCCGCTGTTCTGGTCCCTCACTGTCATCCGGCCTTCTATTCTATTCCACTTTTAATGCAGCAACTTATCATATTGGTATTTCCACTGTTTCAGCCTACATTGGGACACTGAACTATAGCACTGTGGCCATGTTCACCTCTCCATGCTCTGTTGGACTAAATTAATGATGCAAAAATATAAAAATAAATAAACAAAAGAGTAAAATCAAGGAAAATACAGCGCCTGTTGGGCAGGTTAGGCGTTAAATTGCATTTTATCTTTAAGAGCCATGTAAAACAAAGAATGTTTTTTTCATCAGCAGCCCAAAGAAGAAAAAAAAAGGAGGAGGTAATTATGGAAATGTCTTAAACACAAGGAAGATCATAGCGTGCGGTCTTGATCAAAAGGAAGAACATAGCGTGCGGTCTTAAGATCGTATTTCACAATACAACACACAATATTTTGATTTGTGTGTTGTATTACATTATAACCGGCCTCCAAATTGCAGCTTTCCCACATTCGCTGCTAATGGCCGTTTTTTTAATGTGTAATGTTTGCAAAAGGATTTGCAGATTGTCTTTAAATGACTGTCGCTAAGTGTAGTCAATTAAGACTGCTGCGGCGAATGTGTTGGTATTCAAAATTGACCCGGACTGATTCAACTTCATAACACAACCACTTGATCACCTCACTTTACAGCATATAGATGTCTCTACTTGAGTTAAGGTAAGTTTAGATCTGAAATTCAAAATTCTAGTAAGTTCTTCGTCATTCAGTGACTTTCTGAATGGTCAGCCGGAAGAATCACTCAAAAGACAGACCGAAACACTTAAGATTATTCCAGATTGTGTGGTTTGCAAGCCTGTCGAAGTCGCTCCCCAACCGTTCTTTCATTTTAATCTTCCTAACTCTTCACATTTTTCACAGATCTCCTCGTTTTTGGTCAAAAGGCACTTTTCCCTCAAATCAAAATTATGAAATAGCATTGTGACTTCTTTGATCGAGGCACTTTTTAAGGACGTCGCGAAATAAGCTCGTTAGGTTATGTGCAATCTGTCTCTCTTCTCTGTATGACGTAAACTATGTTACTCCTGTGCTTTAGTGCTCAAGCCGTTCAAGAATAAGAGCGCGCTAAGTTCTAAACATTACAAAAGGTACCATAATGCGCCTCATCGACGTTAGTTACCATAGAATGTCACACGAAGATGAGATAAAATCGATTATCTTATGTAAAACAATACTCAGTATGATTCCTTAAAAGATCGATGACCTTAAAGTTGTCAATTTTAATCATTCATAGGCGACAACGACGTAAACAGACTGTATGCATCATGATTAACGAAAACTGTGTAGTACGTTTCTAAAATCAAAAATCCTCCTGTTTCTCTTTTTATTAAGTAAGCTTTCGGATCGACTTTGGTTTATGTTGTCACGTGCGTTTACTCCAAAGGACGCCACTTTCCTAGCAACATCTCTGATCCGCTTTAAAGGTGTATATCACTTAAAAAAAACTTGATAATTCCTACATATAATTTCAGGTTATATCTATTCTAAAATATTTCACATTTCTCAAAATCGTCAAATTCTTGGGGACCCTAGAACACAGTTGCTTGCTCTTTAAGAACTTGGACATATATCCAGAAGAAAACTCACTCCATTACGCATCCGAACCCCATGGAAACACTCTTTTTCCTTTTTTGGTTCTTTACAATACTCGTATTTTGCCTCTTGTTTAAATTTCAGTTATCTACGTTCTGTATACCCTGAAAACATCTGTAATTGTCGTTTATCATGCTATTGATTTGTTTTTAGTTTAGATGACTTCAACACTGAAGATTCGGATGCCTCTTCCATTCCCGATCTTTCTTTTGACATTCTTGCTCAGATAGACTCCCCAACGCCATTTATATGCATCACAGATGACAATGACGTCACCCACACGCCAGATTCTCGCGGAACGCCGATACACTTTATAGTAAGGATGTGTTGCAATTTTAATGAAGTAAAACGCATTTTGATCAGCGGATGAAATTCAAGTGAAGAAATTATCCTCGCAGGTGAGCTGCAATTTAAGAAATAGCAGAAAAGACACCTGAAAAAGATTCATTCTTCGTCTTCTTTGCTACATTCACGACAAAGGGCCTAGGTTCGAATCCTGTTGAAGCCTGAACTTTTCCTAGCTTGTTTTCTGCAATTGCTTAAATTGGAGTTCACCTGCTAGGATTATTTTTTTACTCGAGGAAGGGTAGATTTAGTTTGCGTGGTAGGCTAACTCAGGGAATAGGCTTTGGGACAGGCGTCGTTGAATTTTGTTGCTCAGGCGAGCGCAGTTAGTCAGGTAAGCACAAAGAAAGCGTGAATAGCGCACGAGAGGTGAGACGTGCAATTTTCTTCCTTTTACCCAATAAAATAGAAGGGGGGCACACGAGCTACCCCCTTCCATTCCCACGGGGATGTTGGTAGCCAACTGTTCAAGAAACCGCCATAGGCTCCGCCGTTGGGCTCGTAACACTTCTACTGTTCGTGCTCAAGCTAGCGTGATGACGAACGGTTTGCTAATGTCTTTTGGAGCAACGCCGTGAATAATATTCTTAAGTGGCTTAATCCCTTAAACAAAGGAATAAATTGTTCAAAGCATTGTCGTTTTGTTGATTATTTTATTGTCTGTAGGGAAAAGGAACTTAATTACAAGACTTAAGCTGTGGACGAAAAACTTTAACCAATTATACTCGTCTGAGAAAAAAGCGACTTAGATTAGAACGTAAAATTTGTCTGAAAATCGAAACAAAGCTTTTCCACAACGAGACAAGCTGTTTATATAATCGGCTGAAAAACGATCAACAAATGTTATTATCTTTCCCTAATTCTAGTTTCATCTATTGAATACAAAGAATGGCTGTTTCCTGCTGTCAAAAAGTAACATGAATTTGACACTTATGCATTCAAACTGATTTTAATTCAGCTCTGTTAGTCTTATTAAAATCAGTTAAGCGACTACCATGGAATTCATCAAAACCGTTGCAGATAAATTCCGTTAAATCAGAGTACATGGCGTAAATTATTTCCTAACAGACCTTCAGGTATGTCTTTCCGAAAGATTCCTCAGTTAAGTAGCTGTTGTTTGCATTCCCTTATCACTCAGCATCGACAGGAGAAAGTATCGTATGCAGTTGGGACTTCACTACAAATTTCAACTTCACGCAAATCCTAGTTCTTTAAGTGGTTCAAATGTAAAGTTTCTTTAACTGTGGGAGAAAACAAAGGCATGCCACCTAAAAAAGATTTTTTTTCACATCAGTTTAACTACTGAACATGCGGGAATTTTTACTGCGTTTGAGTTATATTGTAGTTGTATGGTAGTTTTGATTACAACGGGTTGCCATTACTATCTCATCGAACGGCGTGGATCTAATCGAGGTCACACGATTTCAAGCGCATAGTTTGAAAAAGATGGATGAAATATCTATTCAATGATACTCGTGCAAACATAAACGTGTTTGAAAATGACAAACCACTTTCCTAGTTGAAATATTAATTGAAAAATTAGGATGAAGTAGCATGACAAGGGAAGAAAAACCATTAAGCTTGATTCTAGCTTAAACGCTATCAGTTACCAATGTGATACAGAACAAAAGCTGACAGACTAAAAGTAAACATTGGAGGAGTTTACAGTTGCCACTTTTGGTTACATTTTGGGTTACCGCGGAGAAGCTTAGTCCAAAACACGACAATTGCGTTACACTATATGTGTTCCACCAGCTACCAAGTACACCGGAATATTCATATTTAGTATACACTAAAACAGTGCATAGCGCTCTGATTGGCTACCCCAACTCCGAATATATATATCCATTGCGATTCACCTCTGAGCAACTCGCGCGGGATTTGCGCCCAAAAATATTGTAATCGTTGCAAGAATAAATGATTTAGAATTATCTTTTTGTGCTGTACTATAGTATATACTAAAACAACTATTTACCTTAGTGTCGGTGGTTAGCGGTAAATATCCATCACTAGCCACCTCTACTTCGGTGAATAGTTGCAAAGCATACTGCATAAATATTAAAATGAATACTTGTGGTAAAAAAGTTTGAGTTATCACCAGTTAAGTTTTCTCCGTAGTTTAATCTGATAGAGATGATAATTTTTTTAATAGAGGGGAGGGGGGAGGTCCTCTGCGTCTTGAGTCGGAGTATAAGGACACTTAACGGTGGCCTGTGGCATGTGGATGTCTTTGAGCGAAGTTTTTAAACCTGAAACTACTCTGTTACTCGACCTGACATGATATGAAGTAACAAATAGACTGAAACAACTACAACATCAACAACACGCGTTCAACGTTGACAAAATTCTGTAGAATGCGAAGCACACATTACAAAGTATTGACGTATTTTTGTACATAACTATAAAGATTCTAGATACATGTATATTGTCAAGACAATGTACATATCTCTTGATATTGTTCAATGTCTTAACAACAGTTGTATATTTTGCGATTGTTTTAGAAGATCACAATATTAGTTATGACGAGTAAAGTCCACTAGCGCTATTTTTATTGTTGTTAAAGAGTCTCACTACTCCTCCTCTTTTTTTTTTTAGTCAGATTACGAAATG